AGAGATCCAAAGCTACAGATGGTCCAAACTTGAGCCCTGTTGGGATCAAACCTTCACTGGACTCACAGCTCCAACAGACCTGTGTGTCTGGTCTGAAAGATCTGCTAATATCCAGGCGTTTTCAGGACACTACCAAAGCCGGGTTGTTAGGAAACTCTTCTGGTACCAGACTCTTTTTAAACGCTCTTCCAGAACCAGATTTTAGCTAGAATCTCTATTGGTACTAATTATCACCGGTATCAGGCACTTTTTGGGTACTAAAAATAGAGAAGACTTAGTGGACTTTTTGTCAGTATCGCACTTTCTGGACGCTCTGCTGGAACATTCACAACAGGATACTATACCAGCAGCGAATTATTCCTGCACAGGCTCTCTTGGTACTGGGAAAGGTCCAGAGCCTGTGCTGGGCTTTGTGGTGAGCAGTATGGTGGTGGGGCTGTGCCCCTTCTGCCTGCTGGTACCCCGTTTCAAGTCTGGATGCTCTGTCAAGTTCAGCAAAGGGAAACACAACAACATGGGGAAGCAGGTGGAGGTAGGATCCTCTATGGAAATTAGTATTCTGTTTATTTATTATCCAATTATAATAGTTTTACGCATGTAATATTTTTAATCACTGCAGTCTTAAGTGTATTTTAGTAGGATCTAGGTTACACTGATATACATTTCACACAGTGAGTCCATGCTAAATTTATTTGTATTCGGTGTGACTTCACGCCCTTCAGCACCTCGATGTTGTGAAATGTAATTTAACATAATCTGATTGAATCTAATTTAATGTAAATTAATATAATGTGATCTAATCTGATTTGGTATAATGTAACCTAATCTAATGTAAAGTAAACTGATTTAATCTATTGTCGTTTTACTATTATATAATTTTATTAGTAATTATTTTATTAGTAATTATTCCAGTCTTGTCAAATTGTATCTAAACTAATCCGAGTTAATCTAATCAGATTTTATCTAATCAAATTTGATCTAATCTGATCTAGTCTAATATGATTTAATCTGCCCAATCTGATTTGATCTAATCTTATCAGATTTTAATGTAAATTAATTTTATTTGATGTATTCTAATCTAATCTGATTGTATTTGATGTAATCTGATCAAATGTAATATAATCTAGATTAGATTTTATCTAATCTAGTCTTGCCTGCTGCATGGTATATGCTTTAAACTTTGAAAACATGACTATAGTTTCTTATAATTTCTGTTTTGATTATAAAACATTTTGAGAACAACTCAGTAGACATGTTCCTGTAGTGTTTTGTAAAGCGTTTGTGCTATTCAGCGGTTAGTATTTATTTTAAAACTTCCATAATGTTATTTTAGAATTTTGTGCACTAAGAGTTTAAATTATTTGCTTGTTTCACTTTGATGGAAGATAGTATTTTGTGCTGAATAATTTCTGTATTTATTGTTGGCAGCTTGTTCCGTCTACAGTACCATGAGAATCCTATGACCTCAGACGATTGATTTATTTATAACATATTTATTAGCTGAGATGTTAGAAGTGAAAGTGAAGAGAATTTAGTTTGTGGTGGTTAAAGCTTTGAAACATTACACCTTTAAAAGGAAAACAGACACAACAGAAATAATTTCTTCTGGAAGAATGTATTATGTGTATGTAAGTCTGTTTGTTCATCTGTATTGATTTTAACTTTAAGTGAGTTCTTTCATAGATGTCTCTTTATTTTTCTTTCATACAGAAGGTCACTTGACTGTTCTGTGACTAAGGTCATTAGAAAAACAGATTCTGCTCAGGGTCTCAAAACAGCCTGGGCTGCCTAGTGACACTCAACACTTTTTGTCCCCAAGGGATTGTTTTCTTCACTTGAAAAAGCCAAAGTGTCAGGCTTTATACTCCATGTTTGTTCTCAGGCTTCAGCTGTCCTCTCAGCTCTGTGAACACTGCTCTTCCTTTATTAGTTGTTGCCTCTAATGCCTCTTTTGGACGCAGCCTGTTGTGTTCATTGACCAACAAGTCATTCAAATCAAACAAAAATAAAAAATGTAATTGGTCCATCCCCTTCAGAACGACATATTTTCAAATTCACATTAGTGCTGGGCAACGATTACATTTTTTAATTGTGATTATTTGCATGATTTTCTTGCAAACAATCACAATTAATTGCATAGTTATGCGCAAAATTTAATATTGAATTCTAAAGTAGTGTATTGCGCACTTTAAATTTAAATGTACACAAACGTGCAATAACATGTGGTTTGCAAACACTTTAAACAAATAAGGTGCTTTTTACCAGCAGTATTTTCAACATAAAAGTTAAAATATTAAACACTTCGTTATGATTGAAAAACAAAGTTGAAGAGTGTTGGTAGGAAACAGGAAACAAATAGCTGTCTGCCATCTTAAAGTCTGATGTTTTGTTGACAATATCCAACCACCCCGACCTCGCTCTGCGGACTTTTTCGCTTTACAAGTACATCACACTCCTTCATCTTTTGTCCTCATCATCTTGCTGTGCCAGAGCCAGAAAAATGGCCACAAAACAAGCATGGATGAGGTGTTGATGGCTGTAACTCTTCTTTTTTCTCTTCTGGCCAGTAGCCAGATGTTTACAGGGCATGCCATATAACGCAAAGTCACAGCCTGTGTCACTCTCTCTCACACCTTTCCTAAACATCTTCACTCTTACTCTATCCAATAACGAGTAAAGAAGCCCAAAAATATTTTTTTTTAAGAAAAAACATCTCTTAAATCAACATATATTTTTTCAATTGACATAATGTAACTGCTCCCAACAACCTGTAAGCACAGCTTCTGTCTCTGCATATGCAAAACGTACAATTAAACGGCAACTCGGTCTGATTATCAGGCTTAGCAAAACCTAATATAACATTTTGTTGTGAGTTCTGCTTTTTGTTCCAAGAGAAAAATTTTTGGGTTGCAAATAATGATAATTTTCAGTATCAATTCATCTGCTGATTATTTTTTCACTTAATTAATTAATTGGTTGGTCTTAAAAATTTCAGAAGATAGTGACAAAAAGCCCATCAGAAGAGCCCCAGCCATATTTAAGTTGTTTGTTTTGTCCCACAAACGGTCCGAAACCCTGAGATATTCAGTTTACTGTCATAAAACCAGCAAATATTCACATTTGAGAAAACGGATCCACAGAATGTTTGGCTTTTTTGTTTAAAAACTCACCTGACTTATATACAGTATTTACAATCAAAATTACAGTCCATTAATTTCCAATTCTTCAACCAAGTTATCAACTAATCATCTCAGAGGCTGATACTAAATCCAAGTGCCAGATACTTTCAGGTTCACTTCTTAAAAGTGCAGTTTATGGAAAGTCTCATGTCAGTGTGGTTGTTAACTTCCTGTAATGGAAGTGCACTGTGTGTCAAGCATGAATGGCACTAGGGCTGTACCTGAATCAGAAGAGTCAACTCTTCTTTTCAACTTACTGTCAGGTGCTTTATTAGTTTAATAATAATATTCAATAATAATACTGATATTTTTCCTTCAATACACCTCACCTATAAGTCCCCTGAGGAGCGTCTCTCCTGCCTGTCTCCTGACAGTGCTGTCAGCTGAAGAGTCAGTCACACGGTAGAGGATGTTGTTCCAGTGTGTGATCTGAGAGTGTCGGAGCAATGAAGAGGAACTCTGCCCTCTGTTTCACCCTTCTCTGTTTACATCAGAGTTGGTTTACAGCCTGCCGAGCTGTAATCCTGCGCTGCTTCTCGATAGATTATTTGAATCATCTGTGTTTTGGCAGCACACATTTTTTATTTATTTGACTGTGGAAATCTGAACTTTTCAAATGATGATCATGTTAAATACAATAACACTTGAGTTTTAAAGATAAAATATGAGCCTCGGCTGTTACAGGAGTAATTCGGGGGTGAGTCTAGTTCTAGCTTATCCACAGTCAGGTTTCTGTTTTATTTTATTCAAACTCAGTCTTAGACAGTCTGCTGCTGTAATTAGATAACCAGTCGTATGCTGACCAACTTCACTGAATTGATCTTTGTCACATTGAATCAACTGAAGCGCCATCAGACACAGAAAGTCATTACAACATGTCCAATGGAAACTTCTCAAACGTAAAGCAAATATAATTATCATTTGAGCCCCTTTCCCCCCTTTATTTATTTTTTTAAAAACAACAGTTATAGCTTTGATGAATACAACAGCATCATCTGCTAAATGAGAGAAAACACACTGACTTTAATTACATAGTTTAACTGGTGTTGTATTTAGATATTTTGGAGATTTATCAGACTTTCAACAGCATCTGTTGAGGTTACCAAGTCACAGCCTTTAAATTGTGAGAGGTGAGAAAAAACTCAGGACTTGAACTTGAAGCTGAAAATCTTTCTGTGACTCTGGAGGATGAAAAAAACAAAAACCATCTGCCAGAGGTTGATTTATTTTTGGTCGACTGGTTCCTGACTGGGAGCTCTGATGGAAAAAAAGTTTGATGGTTCCTGTATTCCAGTAGGTCAGCTGACTTTGGGACAAACTCACACAAACACACACAGGCTTATTGATTTTTTGTAAGTCTGTATCCAGGACAAACACCCTGGTGGCATTTTCACACACAGACTGACACTGTGGGTAGGGCTAGGGATAGCTCTAGGTAACTAGTGGTTATAGTTAAAATTAGGGTAAGTGAATGTAATGTCCTCGAAAGTGATGGAAAAACAGCTGTGTGTGTGTGTGTGAGAGAGAGAGAGAGAGAGAGAGAGAGAGTGTGGCAGAGAGGGAAAAAACACTTCACACTATTGTTTAACTTGCAGTATATCAACAACACAGAATCAACTTTCCCATAAATTACTAGAACGATTTACACACACGCAGTGTTTGTTTATAAATTCCCAGAATATATCATCATGAGCACCGTAGCCTACAGGTCTGTGTGGAAGTCATCGTCTGGACTTCACACGTTGTGCTGTGTGAAGCCACACGTGAGTTACAGGACTCTTGTTTTTGTGTGATAATGTTTGACTCTGCTCTCTCCTCCAGGAGCCCAGCACCAAGCGCAGTAAACTTGTATCCAGGGTGACGTCTCTAGCCAGCCTGCTGCCGCCCGTCAAGACCGCACCGCTGAAGAGGATTGGTCAGACGCTGCAGGTGAACCACCAGTCAGATGTCTCCACCAATTCTTTATTTTTTTTTGCCAAGTTGCAGAAGCCACTAGTTCTGGAAGTGTTTTTTACTAATCTGGATTCCCATATCAAATCTTTCAATGATATCCTCAGTGTTACTGATATTAAAATCCCATAGGTCAGTTTTATGACCTCCAGTTTGAGTAAATCAACTGTTGTTTCTGTCAGTTTGAAAGGCAGACAGCTCTAAATACTACAACAGCCATGAGTCTTGGCAGCCATTGATATGGAGATGGAGGCAGTCAGGGTGCGAGTCAGAGCGGCAGTGAATTCAAAACACTGTTGTTTAATTTGAAAACAAAAACAGCAACATAGTGTCTGACTTTATTTACAATTGACCCAGAGTTCAAAAGTGAAATGATTTAAGCTGCAACTTGTAAAATCAGTCTTAGCAGTGCACTTTGGGCGTTGTAGTCAACCTCTCCCCTAAAGTTTTATGTCCACAGACTTGTACATTCAATAGTCTAATCAAGAATCAGACATTTGTTCATCTTTTGAACTCATGATCCAACCAGGAGAGTTTCATTGTACAAGTTATAGAAGCTGGAAAAAAAAAACTGTGGGTCACATCATAGGTGTTTACACTGGTGAAGGTGTCCCCACCGCTTTCTGAAGTGGCTGATTTTGTCCCCACCACTTTTTAAAAGCTTAATTTGTTTTAAAAAATGCAGCAAGAATTGTTAACTAACAAATGAAAATGTTTGCACACTAAGAAAACATGCAATGCAATAAAATATAGAAGAAACAAATGTGCATTGTCCAAAAAGTAAAAAGTAACTTAAGTTATAAAAAAGAAGCAACTGATTACTGCCTTATATTCATAAATACATCATGTGTATTGTCACTGCCCAACTCGAGCCTTTATGTCCTCACCACTTTTCATCACAAAGTGACGCCCTTGAAAATCAATGGGACTTTAACTCCTGGAACCAGGGGCACCCAAACTTACTGTTCCCACTTCATAACTATACTACAGATGCTGAAAATAGGGCAGTTTTTGCTCTCTGACAGCCAGCACTAAAAAAGAAAACATGTGAAATAAATATTTATATTATTCTATAGACAGTTTAGTCTCTCTGTCTCTGCAGCGCTCCATCAGTTTTCGCAATGATAGTCAGATGGAGAGAGCCGCTCATCCTCCTCCCTCCTCCTCCTCGTCGGTGAAGACGCGTGTTATCTCAGCGACGGTCTCCAACCCTTCCTCCTCCATGAGTGCGACACGGGTTTCCACTGCAGCTGCCCCAGTGGCCAAACGCCGTGACAGCAAGCTTTGGAGTGAGACGTTCGATGTCCGACTGGGAGCGACGCAACCTCTGAGTCCAAAAGAGATAAAACGACAAGAGGTGAGAGACACGCTGCAGCTAGACTAAAGGATTTTTATTTTACTTTTGTGTCACAACATTTATTTTTCATCGGAGTGGTATCTGAGGTTGTTTTTGGTCTCCTTATATACATTAATCAGTCACGAGTCTGCGGCACCTCACTGATATCACTAATGCTCGGTAGGTCGCCACCAATGATTTTCTGAGTGGTTTTAATCAAACGCTGCACAGTCCTCCGGTCCTGGGCCGTGCACATCCCATGCCAGTTTGTGATGTTTTCAGTCAGGTTGCTTTCTATTGCTCCTCTGTAAAAGCTGAAAATAACTTGGCACAGGAATATTACCTTTTTCCTTAAATAGGCCTCCCATAGTTTTTTAGAACAGTTTTTACAAAATAAAATAAAAAATTCTGTGGTTAAAGAAAATTATGAGACAAATATATATATGACAATAAATACAAGACATACATCGTTACAACCAACTCTTCAAGACACAATTAATAAAAATCAGTGGTTGAAAAGGTTGACTCTCAGTTTTACAGTACAAAAGAGCTAATTTTTACATTGTTTAAAGAGGTGGTATTATGCTCATTTTCAGGTTCATCATTTTATTTAGGGGTTGTATCAGAACAGCTTAACATGGTTAAACTTTCAAAAAACACCATATTTTTGTTATATTGCACATTGCTGCAGCTCCTCTTTTCACCCTGTGTTGAACGCTTCATTTTAGCTATGGAGTGATACATCTTGTCTCTAAATGATCTTTGTTGGGAGTTGCACATGCGCAGTACCTAGTAAAGGACTACTAGCCAATCAGAAACAGAGTAGGACGGGCCCTGAGAAGCGGTAAACACAGCTTCGGTTCAGCTGTATACGTTCCCTTTACCAGCTTGGCAACATAGACTGGAGGAAGAGTTTCAGAGTTATTAATCTGTAACAAATGTATCTTTCATCCATAAAGTTTAAACTGAGCTCTGTCTCTACATCACAGTAACAACTTTATGTCCACTGACTGCCTGGAGGGTAGCTAGTGTTTGGAAGGGAGAGGAGCTGTGTGCTGCAGCTCACTGTTTTTCCACCAGTGTTTTTGAGGGCGTATCAGATTAGCCGCTTGGCGAGCGTTAAATGAAGCGCATTTTGCTTTCATTCCTGTGACGTCACAGGGATGAAAGGGAAGCGGCTGGAATACAAACGTGCTGTTTTCAGGCAGTTCAGAGCAGAGTTTTCTGTGGGAGATGGGAACTCGCTTTGGGGTGGACTTTAGGCTTTTTCACTTTGCAAACCTATGACATGTACAAAAACTGAATAAAGGAGAGGGAAAAAGCTAAAAAGCATAATACCACCTCTTTAAAACTCATCAATTCATCATTTTCCAAAACCCAGTACACTTAAATCTCATCCACCTCTTAACAGGTACAGATAACCCAAACAAAGATCGAATATATTCTGCTGTCTAGAAGTCTAGTTCTTCTCTCTCTCTCTCTGCAGGCTATATTTGAGTTGGCTCAGGGTGAGCAGGACTTGGTTGAGGATCTCAAGTTGGCTAAGAAGGTAAAAAGAAAAACTTTTTTTCTTTGAAGAACTGACTTTCCTCCTCAATTTATTCTACAGTACCAGTATTTTTTAATTATGCGTTTTATTATGTGTGTACAGGCCTACCATGACCCGATGCTGAAGCTGTCAATTATGACTGAGCAGGAGCTGAACCAGATCTTCGGTACTCTGGACTCACTGATACCCTTGCATGAAGGTAGGAGGGAGCATCTGATGGAAACATGCAGCAGCCTCCACAGCTGAGTGCTGCAGAGTAAAGTCCCTTTATGTTATGGCAATTCAGTCTCTCTCTTGCTCCTCTCCTGCTTGACACCTCTCCTTCGACAGGTGGAAAGTAGTACACATTGTAAATTTAAGAGAAAGACGAAGCCAGCTAAAGGCTGCAGTTCCTTTAATAGCCACCAGATGGTGACAGTGTACAATTACATTTATTTACATTTACATTTACATTTATTACATTCATTTAGCTGACTTACAATTGCTATATACGTCAGAAGTCGCACGCCTCTGGAGCAACTAGGGGTGAAGTGTCTTGCTCAGGGATACATTGGTGGATGAATCACAGTGGGGAATTGAACCCGGGTCTCTCACACTGCTCCATCACCACCCCCAAATGAGAAACCCCCAAAATCTCACTGCTCAAATAAAGTTGAGAACTTTGGCTTCTTGTTTTTTTAAAAGAATTTAAAGGGTAATGTTACATATGAACATATATAAATAATCGTTACAGAAAGGTATGGAATAATATTGGCTCTAGTATTGGAACATTTCAATACTAGCCCTATTGGTGACATGGATTGTTGTTTTTTTAATTTATTTAAAAGGGACAATGCACATTAATCAACATGAGGACTTAAGTCCAATGTGTAAATGTACCAGATTTAGCCATACAGATTAATTTTCATCTGCGGTATCTGGCAGGTTGATAGCATAACACAAAACATTAAAACCAGTGCTTAATTTGTAAATTATTAGGTGCCATCCACTAAAAAATGTATTAATAAACTAATTTTATTAATTAATTAACAAATTATTAATTATTTAAAACACATGGGTGATCATAAGCCATTATTAGCTACCAAATCGAATAGTAAATGAGGAAATCCATTAGACTTACCCTATTAGGCTGGATTTTGTTTAATGAATTCATTGAGTGGGGGGGGGGGGGGGGGGGGACCATGGAGTTTGGACATTCACTTCAGGGTCATGCAGTGCAGCTGTTGCTGCTCTCTCAGTATTTTTGCCTCTAAAAAAAGTTAGTGTTGCCATTGTGTCTTCTTCGATGGCCCCATGTTGCTCTGGGTCCTGACCTCTATTGTTTCACAATTTAAAAACTGTCTCTCCTCAGACCTGCTGAGTCGCCTCCGAGACGCCAGAAAACCTGATGGAGCCACAGAACATGTGGGACACATCCTGACTGACTGGGTGAGTTTTTTTCTTAACTTAAAGCAACATACTGAAAATAATTACAGTCTGTCTCTGAAGATTTCAGATGTTTAGTCGTAGTAACCAGGTTTCTGTTTCTGTGTCCCTGCAGCTGCCCTGTCTCTCCTCCTACACTCCATACTGCAGTAACCAGGTGAAGGCCAAGGACTTGTTGGACCAGAAGAAGCAGGATCGGCGGGTACAGGATTTCTTGCAGCGCTGTCTCCAGTCGCCTTTTAGCAGGAAGTTGGACTTGTGGAACTTCCTGGACATCCCCCGTAGCCGACTGGTGAAGTACCCGCTGTTGCTCAGAGAGATCGTAAAGCACACACCCAACGACCACCCGGACCGGCAGCACCTGGACGAAGCGGTGAGGAAAACCAACGTTAAGATACAGTACACCTTTGTCCTACAGGTCTGGTTCACCCAATTGTCAGACTGAGGTAGTAGTAAAAATTCAGAGACAACCTTAAAAAGGCTGGGAGTAACCCAGAGGTCATGGTATTAACCCTGAAATGTCAGAAAAAAACTTGTCTGGAATAGGAATAGGGAATAATGGCCCAGTCCAACTTTTAAAACGGCAACATTTAGGTAAATCCACGTGAAAATTTTGCATTGAGTTCAACTTTGATGTGTGAATTTGCATGGATGAACAATAGGAAGCCATCTATATCGGGGACCTCTGAGTAAAAGTAAAGGTAAAAGTCCTATTCATTTTCTCAGATAACTTTTGGTGACATCCAGTTGGCTTGGATGGCCATGAATGTCTTGTGGTTGAATTATCAGTACAAACCTTTAAAAGTCATAAACAAAACTTGGTGTTAATATTGAAAAAAGAGAAATGACTCTTAAATAGTCACGAGTATTCCTGAAGATGTGGGAATATCCTTGAAAGTAAGGCTAATTGTTTAATGCATGTATTTAATTTGTATGTTGAAAACAAGATCCGATGATGGATGGAATTAGATTTTGTCTGTTTGCTCTACAGATGCTAATGGTTCAGAGCGTGGTTGCAGACATCAACAGGCGGACAGGGGAGTCAGAGTGTCAGTACTACAAGGACCGTCTGTTGTACACAGAGGACGGACAGAGGGACGAACTCATTGACCGGTCCAGAACCCTCAGCTGCCACGGAGAACTGAAGAACAACAGAGGACTCGTAAGTAGATTTCTACAATTTCATACTCATTACCACCACCCCCCAACCAAATGTTCTACCCTCTCACTTCTGGACCTTATTTTCCTCCTTCTTTTGAACATATATGGTCTATAAAGTTCATGAATCCAAAGGGAACAACACCACATAAGATAAGAAAATACAAATTAAATAAAAATAGAACAGAAAAATGCAAAATGTAAAATAAATAGAAAGATAAGCGTTATGTGTTCACCATATACACCTTTTATGTACAGACGTGAATGATAAGAATTTTTGCACAGGTTGCAGCAGTAGGTAGCTGCGTGGTGTAAAAATAAATATATTTGTACAGGACAGAATATGTACAGCAGTATAGTTTAGCTTTAATATAGGCTACAGGAATAAAAAAAAAGTGATAATGGTAAGTGTTGACTGAGTGCTACATTATGTCATTGCTATGTGGCCTGCGATAGCGCTCCTTCTTGCACTGTGGATGCAGCAGTCTGAGTCAAAGAATTATGCTTAGTTGCTTGATGCTTAGTAATGTGATAGTGGGTTCTTTAAAAGTCCATAACATATAAATATACACATTTATACATATAACATATAACATACATAGAACATATAAATATAATAACTGTAATAATATACTTTCTCTATGCAAGTACACCTGTGTAATTGGGATTGTTTACTTTCAGTTTTATCTTTTCCTTACAGAAATTCATTTCTACTTTGATTATTTTACAAATTTTATGACTAGTAAACAGGATCCAAAAATTTTATCTGTCATTTGTTGAACAAACACAAACACCTGATCCTCAAGTAAAGAAAAGTTAACTTCGGCTGTCTCTGTTTGTCTTTCCAGAAGCTCCATGTGTTTCTGTTCCAGGACGTCCTGGTCATCACCAGGTCTGTCTCGCTCAATGACCAGCCAGTCAGCTACCAGCTCTGCCGCCAGCCAATCCCCATCCGGCAGCTGGACCTTGAGGACCTAACAGATGGAGAGATGAGAGTGGGCGGGTCCATCAGAGGAGCCTTTAGCAACAACGAGCGGAGTTAGTAGATCTTAAATACCACAGATGCTATAAAAACAGATCCATTTTATTTTGTCGTTCCACAGGAGGAAATCAGGATTGGTTTGCATGCATTTACCTTTTTTATTTTGTCCACTGTAAAACTAATTCTGTGTACCAGTTCCATGGTATGTACTGTAATGTACTACTGTATGACCAAAATAAATTTAGTCTCCGCTCCATAGTATCAGTAAAGGGAAATCTTGTTGTTGATATGATGTTACATCATAGTTATATTTCAGTGATATTTCAACTGTGTGGCAACAGTTTCCTGTTCAACATGACATTGCCCTCATGCACAAAGCCAGGTTCAGAATCAGCTTTATTGCCAGGTATGTGTACACATACGAGGAATTTGACTCTGGATTGTACAATGCTCACGATGTGCTTACTTAAACAATAATACAATAAGACAATAATAATCAAACACAGGCTTCAGTATAGAGAACACATATATATACACACTATGAACAAAATAGACAGTTTGAGACAGGAAATGCAGTCTTTAGAGGTTTGAACCAAGGATGAAAACTTAGACTAGTCCATCCATCGTTAACCGCTTATCCTGTGTACAGTGTCGCGGGGGTTGGAGCCAATCCCAGCTGACATTGGGCGAAAGGCGGGGTACAGCCTGGACAGGTTGCCAGTCCATCGCAGGGCCACACATAGACAGACAACCACTCACACTCAAATTCACACCTAAGGGCAATTTAGAGACACCAATCAACCTAGCCTGCATGTCTTCGGATGGTGGGAGAGAACCCACGCAGACACAGGGAGAACATGCAAACTCCACACAGAAAGGCCGGGGCAACCGGGGTTTGAACCCACGACCTTCTTGCTGTGAGGCGACAGTGCTACTTAGACTCGTCATGCAAAGCTATTTAATGTTTGGACAATCAACCTAAAAGGCAACACCTGGGCAACAAGAAACATCTGTCAGTCACATGTTCCAATAGTTTTGCTCACTTGAAAAATGGGTGGGTTTAAACAAAGGGTGGTATGTCCTGAGTTGTTTAACACATCTAGATGTGAATACCAGGAAATGAGAGCTGAAATTCTGAACTCTTGTCTCATACTCATCTTTTGATCTCAAACCCAATGGTCTTCAGTGAACAACAAAAACAAAGGAATTTGCCTTACCGTTCCTATACTTTTGGAGGGGACTGTACAATATCAATATGAACAGTATAAACAGCTCTGAAATACAGCCAGGTCTGTAAAGGAATGTTTTTTTTCCAGTTTGGTATGAAAGAACTTAAAATCTACAAATTTTAAACCTACTGGCACAGATGTTTGACCAGAATATCCACTGATGTCTCTCTCCTCACAGCAAAGAACTTCTTCCGGGTTTCGTACCGCACTGGAGGTCCACTGCAGAGCCACTGCTTCCAGGCCAGCGACGCCTTCAACAAACAGCAATGGATCAACTGCATCAGACAAGCCAAGGAAGCAGCAGCACTGACTGGAGACCAGCCACAGACAGGACAATGTCTGGAGACAGGGCTGAGTGGCCAGATAGGGCCGCTTGGTGTCACCCGTTTGAGTTTGCGTGATGATTCAGGCCCTGAAGATGAAAAAAAGATATGGGTGGAGGCGGAAACAGGACTGGGTTTGGAAGGAGAGGTAGGTCAGAGGAGAGAGAAAGATCTAAGTTTGGGTAAAGAGCCTTGGGTTGCTTTGACTGAAGAGACAATGGGCGGTAGGGAAATGGAGACAGGTTTGGGTGTGGATGGTGAGATGGGTTTGAAATTAGATGGAGAACAAGGGATGGACGGTGAGAAGAGGCTGACCATCAGTGAGACAGAGACAGGTGAGATGGAGGCAGGGCAGAGGGTCAGTGGCGAAATGGAGGCAGAGCCAGAAGCCACAGCAGATTGCAAGATGGATGGAGGAGGAGGAGGAGAAGGAGAGACTCTTAGCATAGGCACCAATGATGTTCCCATCTCCCACCTCTCCTCTGATTGTCCCTCTCGAGAGGAGGAGAAGGAGGTGATGGAGGAGGAGCGGAGGGGCGCCGAAGAGGAGGGTGAGGTCGGCATGGACACCAGTGAGATTGACTCTCTGCAGTGCGAAGAGCTGACCCTCAGGTGCTGATGCTAGGACCAAACAAAAAGAGCATGACATAGTGAGGGAATGGCACCACAGCCAATCAAATCAAGGACTTGATGATGATGTCACTGGCAGAAAAGTCAAAAGAATATCAATGATCGATCAGACAAACTTGTCGATACACATTAACCAACATCTCCTTCGGATGAGACGTTAAACTGAGGTCCTGACTCACTGTGGTCATTAAAGATCCCATGGCACTTGTCGCAAAGAGTAGGGGGTTCCCCAGTGTCATGGCAAAATTCCCAACCTGACTTTCACCATCTGGCCTTCTAATCATCCCCAATAGTAATTGGCACAATGTTTCCCTCCCTCTCCACCTCAAGCTGATGTGTGGTGAGCGTTCTGGCGCTAAATGGCTGCTGTGCATCACCCAGGTGGGTGCTACACATTGGTGGTGGTTGAGGTGAGTCCCCCCCACTTAACTGTGAAGGGATTTGAGTTTCCATGATAAAGCGCTATATAAATGTAATGCATTATTAACATGTTCCACAACGCTGTAACTGCTGTATCCTGACTGCTGGTGACAGTGGTAACTACTTTGTTCTACAATGCCACAGCAGACTATGTTCAAAGATGGTGCCTACCAGGCACATAGTGCAGAATTGTTTTCAAGGTTCCTCTGGCAGTAATTTTTTTTGTTGGTCCTTTAGAGCAACTTCCAGCTGACTCCCCACACACGAATGGTGCAAAACATTAATATACTGATACGGCTCTTTGAGACTTATTTTTTTATCTGACCAATGGCTAAAATTCTGATAATACAAAGATTTAACTTGGACTGTTTGTGATGCTCAGAAAAATGTATTTATTGTTTTACTTCCTTGAAATTATATATGTTTATGGGTAAAAGTATTTTTGGTGTTGGTGCTGATAACAAAGCCAGAGAAAAGGTGCAATGTGCCAGGAAAAGGCAGGAAGAACAATACTGCTAGCTGATCTAAATATGGACACAATAATGCAGGTTTTAAAATAACTTTATAAATGTTTTTAAGGAAGGAAATGTATTTAGCAAATATTTTTAGGCCTGCTTAAAAAACATTTGAGTAGCAGTAAAGACACTTTATGAACTTCTGCTTTTTGCTGGTTCAGGACAGTAAGATTTTCTTTACACAGTTCTGTTGTAAACATTATCAGCAGCGTTCTCAGGTAATACACACAAAAGGTCATGACATGGAGACCAAATGAGCGAATCACAGAATTCAAGTCAAGTCAGTGGAAGACAATAAAATAGCTTTTTGCATTTAAAACACTATTACTAAATGATAATCAATCATGCTTGCAGCTGCAACAACTACACACTACTAAAGCAATTATGAAAATTATGAAACTGAGCATTGCAGATGTCAAGTGTAGGGAAGTTCCTACCTCTGTTTTACAGATTTGGAGCAGCAGTAATCATCTTCATCTTGAAACTTGTATCTACAATTTTGGCAATTTTCATTCTGCCAGATCAGCTGGATTCTTTGCTCCTCAGAAATTCTCCTTACTTGTTGTGTTTCTAAAACTCTCTAATTAATTAAAATCAGTTATAATGTCTGAAAACACTGGAGACAATAGATCTGTACACCTAGTTCTGATTAACAGATTAATAATGATTTGTGAATTTATCAACGTGAATGTACATTCAACAAGAATTTGACAAAACCTGCAAGACACATCCTCCTACAAATAGGGTTCATGTGTAATGTGCATTAGCAAATACTGTTAAGAATATTGGTAAGAATATAGGACATCAGGTGGACACAAACTCGACTCCAATAGGTTAAGGATACTCTGTGTCAGCTAACACATCCGTGATAACAGCTTAATATAGTGAGATGGCGGTAGCTGTTTGATGTTTCTCCATCCTGTTTCCAAAAATAGATTCATGCAGTGTTTACAATGGTTGGCATTTACACAGGAATAATGCTGAAAAGACATAACAAAAGATGTTGTCAGTGAACATTTGGCAGACATTTACTGTATGAAGAAAGTTTCCCTCAAAACATACTTTACAAATCACAAATAGTTGCGTATGAATGGAATTCATGGGAGAAACAGTTACTGATATTTTACTGTCATTTTAACATGTAATCTACTTAAAGCATGCCAAATGCGTTAAATGCATGTTAAGTAAATGTTTACTTTTTTTTACCAGCTATCCCTATAGTTTTGACACAATATCCTGTAAAACTGAAACAGCTTGCACCTGTTCTAGGTGTCACTACAAAGCTGCTGCAAGGTGAAATGTTCAGTGTTGTCATGGGAATCAGAGAAGAGGAGCCTGTTGTGTATGTACTGTATGTATGTAAAGAACGTATATAATAAGTTTATCTGTATATGAATGTAGGAACAAGCCAAGCATGTATGTTTGTTATATATGTGCAATTGTCAAGACAATCAGTTTGATATTATAAATATATAGTTTTGATGCTGAAGTTTCTAATGATGATGATGATGATGATGATGATTATAATGGATTAAGGCTACCACAGTGTTAAGACTACCAGATAGTCACCACAGTTATTTGTCTCTTAAGAGTAAATGCCCCAGACAAAACTTGTGCACACTGTCAATATTTTGTTGAGGTGTCAACTAATGTGTGAATTGTCACAAGACCAAAGCATCAATAAACTGTTATTAAAGAAGCCTGTCACTGAATGGATAGTTATAAATGTAAATGCTCCGTATTTGTAAAGCACCTTTCTAGTCTTTTCAACCACTCAAAGCACTTTTACACTACATCTGCGTTCACCAGTCATACACATTCATACAGTGCTCAAACGGAAACTAACATTCACACACTGGCGGAACAGCCGCCAGGGGCAATTCGGGGTTCAGTATCTTGCCCAAGGACACTTCGACACACAACCAGGCCAGGGATTGAACCGCTGACCTTTCAAATTAACAGCCAACCCGCTCTACCTCCTGAGCCGCAGCCGCCCCGTAGCCCAGTTATGGGTTGCTGCGAAGAAGACAAAATGAAGCCTGCCCTTTAAAAAGGGTGCACATAAGTACGATGGACTATTTTTAGCAAACAAACCTATGATATTAATGTGAATTGTGAAAAGTTGAGGATCTAAGACTGAGCCATGAGGGACGCCCATATTGTCAAAAATGTGCATACCATCAGCCACGACACGCTAAAATCTTTTTCTGCAGGTAATTTCTTGGCCAGTCACAGGTATGCCCGTTTCTTTAAAGAATGTAAGGAAGTATTGTCTATGGTATCATGTTCCATCCATCCATCGTCAACCGCTTTTCCTGCGTACAGGGTCAAGGGGGGGCTAGAGCCAATCCCAGCTTACATTGGGCAAAAGACGGGGTTCACCCTGGACATGTCACCAGTCCACTGCATGGCCACACATAGACAAACAACTACTCACACCCACACCTAACCTAACACTTTTGGAGACCCCAATCAACCTAGCCTGCATGTCTTTGGATGGTGGGAGGAAGCCGAACCCACGCGGACACAGGGAGAACATGCACACTCCACACAGAAAAGCCGGGGCAACCGGGGTTTGAACCCACAACCTTCTTGCTGTGAGGCGATTACAGCACAACATTTCAAGTGACTTAATTTTTATTTATTTAGCCCAGTGTCACAAATCACAATTTGCCCCAGATGGCTTTACAATCTGTACAGCATATACAACACCCTCTGTCCTTAGACTATTCATTCAGCTGCCAGTATGTTAGGATATAGGGCCAAATAAAGCAGAATGTATTACTCTGTATACCCATTATCTTGTTAGAATGATCTTGTTAGCCACAACTATTAGGCTGTTGCCTGTACGCTCTATCAAGTACAAAGAATGCAGAAAACTAGACACTGCAGCTTGATTTCCCTGATAAACCAACCAGAACTCATATGGTGGAATAGCAGTTCAGGCAGGTGGTGATGGCGCAATGGATGGTGCAATGGATAAGACACATGCCTTTGGTGTGAGAGACCCAGGTTCAATCCTCCATCTACCAATGTGTCTCTGAGCAAGACACTTAATCCCTAGTTGCTCCAGACATATGCATCCTCCGACATAAATAGCAATTGTAAGTTGATTTGGATAAAAGTGTCAGCTAAATGCATTGATCAAACAGATTAGTTTCAGTCAATTTGATGAAAAACAACATTTATGATGATACAGCAAATGAGCACGACAACTACAAAATAATAATAACCTCTTAAAATGTGATTTTCTGATCATGTGATGGTCCATCTGATTCCTGCTTACAGGAAAAAACTAAAGCTCGGTTTACAGAGCAGGACATCAAAGATCAAAGGACTAGTGAAGCTACTGAGGATCTTCGGGCGTGTTTGGACTGCACTGACTGGGACGTTTTCAAGAAGGCTTTGAGAGTCAATCGGACACCATCCCCCGTGACTCCTCTACTCAGCTTCAGCCTCAGTCCACCACTTCTTCGCCCCCCTCCTCAGAGCTGGCCAGCTCCACCCCTCCCCTCCTCTCTTCATTACAGAGAGGGAAGTCAACGGTCTTTTCAGGAGGCAGAAACCCTGCAAAGCAGCTGGGCCGGACTCTGTCTCCCCATCCACCCTGAAGCACTGTGCTGATCAGCTGTCTCCGGTGTTCACAGACATTTTTAACACCTCACTGGAGACATGCCATGTGCCAGCATGCTTCAAAGCCTCCACCATCATCCCTGTACCCAAGAAATCAAGGACCACAGGACTAAATGACTACAGACCAGTCGCCCTGACCCCTGTGGTTATGAAGTCCTTGGAACGCCTTGTGTTGTTCCACCTAAAATCAATCACAGACCCTCTCCTGGACCCCCTGCAGTTCGTCTACAGAGCCAACAGATCTGTAGATAATGCAGTAAACATGGCCCTTCACTACATCCTCCAGCACCTGGACTCTCCAGGAACCTACGCCAGGATCCTATTTGTGGATTTCAGCTCTGCTTTTAACACCATCATCCCGGCCCTGCTGCAGGACAAGCTCTCTCAGCTGAACGTGCCTGACTCCACCTGCAGGTGGATCACTGACTTCCTGATGGACAAGAAGCAGCACGTGAAGCTGGGAAAACATGTCTGACCATCAGCACGCTCATCTCAGGTGGGGACAAGTCTACTTACAGGTGGGAGATCGACCATCTGGTGACCTGGTGCAGCCAGAACAGTCTGGAGCCCAGCGCTCTGAAGACAGTTGAGATGGTCGTGGATTTTAGAAAGAGCCCAGCCCCACCCTCCCCCATCATCCGTTGTGACTCCCCAGTCACCACTTTGGACTCCTTCCGCTTCCTGGGCACCATCATCTCCCAGGACCTCAAGTGGGAACAGAACATCACCTAAATGCCCAGCAGAGGATGTACTTCCTGCGGCAGCTGAAGAAGTTCAGCCTGCCAAAGACAATGATGGTGTACTTCTACACCACCATCATTGAGTCCATCCTCACCTCCTGCATCACCATCTGGTACGCTGCTGCCACTGCCAGGGACAAGGGCAGGCTGCAGCGTATCGTTCGCTCTGCAGAGAAGGTGATTGGCTGCAATCTTCCTTGTACGCCTCGAGGACTCTGAGGCGAGCAGGAAAGATTGCCGCTGACTCCTCCCACCCCGGACACACAAACTGTTTCAGACTCTCCCCTCTGGCAGGAGCCTGCGGTCCATCATGACCCAAACCTATCACCACAAAAACAGTTTCTGCAACCAGCCTCATAAACAAGGCCCGGTTCCCCCACTGACACTCCCCCCTTGCACTTGATACCAATGTCTCTGCAAATGTAAATACTGTTTCATCTCGTGTTGTGCACAGACCTGGCACATTGCACATATTTATTGTTGATTGTTGATCTTTCTTGTTGTATATTTTTATGATGTCCTGGTAGTTTATATATTTATATGTATACAATATTCTCTTCCGTTGCGTTACTTCTGCATGGCACAGACCCAGAATAATGCACATGTATATATCTGCAACGTTGTTCTTCTATTCCATATCTATATATTTCTACATTTATTTATGTCGACTGTATGTTTGTCTACCTGTAGCACCTTATCACCACAGCAATTATGTTTGGGCCAGAGTAATGCACATGCGCAGTGCGTTTGTTTATATTGTTACAGTTGAAAGCGTCTATATAAATAAAATACAATTAAAAGTAAATTAAAACAGAATGTTTACATTTAACTTTTATATTATTATTGGTGCATGTCAAGGTAAATTTATTTATTGAGTGATTTATTTGTTTTTGCAGTTTGTGTCCTCCATATCCCAACTTCCATAATTGTCATTTCCAGAAGATGGCAGTAAAGGAACATTTAGTAACCCAGCTGCAGTTAAAGCTCAGTGAAGAAGATTTCAGTTCCCAGGAAGCATGGCGCGGGCTGTGTGTTGGTTGGATTACCTGAGCTGCGGGATCAGGAGGTAATAAGAGCGGTGTCGTTGCGGGGCTCTAGCCGAAAAACAGAGTGACGGTTGGGAATAAACGCGGCGGTTTGGTCGAGAATTGGACAATGGACGACAGCCTGGCTCGGAGGGAGGCAGCCCGTCCGAGGAGGAGGATGTCTGCTGCTGCCGCGGAGTTTGGAGCTAACGTTAGCCTGCAAGATGGCGAGGTGGTCGATGGACACCCAGCCAGAGAAACTCAACAAGGTCCGGGAAGACGAAGTGCTCCTGGTGGGAGGATGAACTCGGTACCGCAAGGTGTCTATCAGAGATATATGCCGATGGAGCCTCTGAAGTTCCCTATACCGAGGAAAAACAAGGAAAAGAAAGGTGGGCTGGTCCGCATTCTTCGTCCAAATGAGTAAAATTATAATATAATTAACATTAGAAATCAAAAGTTACATTATACTGCATCTAACGGTAACCAATAGCTCCATTTATTTTACATCCTGAAGTTACTACGTTACCGTTATGGAACTAAAGAAAAGGTCCTCTATCAGAAAACTAAGCCGAAGTCCATTTCTGAGCTGTTTTGCTGTGTAAACCTAGTGACAGCTCTCTACATTACACACATACACCTGTATTACATGTGCTGTTATAAATATTTACAAAAGAAAATCATAAAATATTTTGTATAAGCTGCAATGTGTTGAGGTATTTGGCAGCTAGCGCGAGACAAGGATGCTAGCTAGCTGTTAACCAGCTAACGTCAGTTAAGTTACGTGCTTTCCGTTAGAAGTTAGTGTTTGCAGTCTGTTTTAGCCTAACGTTAAATTACCAACTAAGCGCAAGTAACGTTAACGGAGATTCTGCATGGATTCAGATGTGCTTGATTTCAGAGCCGTGTTCACGTTAGCTTACGTTAACGAGTATTGGCTAAGGTGAAGTAACGTTATCCGCCTCCTCCATTTGTTTACTTTGAGTTACGTGGTCGCGCATTGTGTGTCCGTTTCTGCTTTTTGTTTCTGGGTAGTTAATACTAAAGGAGCACTTTTGGGGTGGTCTTCCCTTTGACCACGTCAAAAACCATGGCTGACCGTGACAAAGTGTGCACACAGTTGCACCCTCAGCAGTGCTTTAGGTGTTAATTAAAAGGATGGCAGTTTATATGCAAACAACTGACATAAATAGCCTGTACGTTACTAGTAAACTGTGTACCCCTCTAGCTACATAAATTGGTAATCCTCAAGTCAGTCAATGTTGTAGGTTACACTCCCTAATGTTTTGCCATTCTAACAATAACTTTTATGCAGAGAAGATGACTTTATCAGATTCATTACTGTAGCCAGCTACCTAATAGGCCTAATGTATTTCTACATCAACGTACTTGCAGAACAGGTTTTACTATATGATTGCATGTATTATTTTAATTTAAATACATGCAAATGTACATGTTGCCTTTTAGTTTGTGTTTTACCATTTACAGTATGTGCTGCTACTCGTAAAGTCAGGGTACATATTTTTTTCTCCGAGTACACAAATAGGAAATCCGACTTCAAGTGCCGTTCCAAGATAGATTTTGTAGTTGGAGGTCGGAAATTTCCCAGTTCCGAGTTGCCTGGAACGCAGCATAAGTTTAGCTGTAAGTTTGTCCTACTGTTTTGGGACTATAGAGGTTTAAGGTAACTTTATTATCCCAAGGGGCAATTTGGTTCACTGCCAGCAGTAACAAACAAAAATCACACAACAACAAATAATAATTGTTCTGCCTGATGGTAGCAGTGTGAATTCACCCTACAAGCATTGGTTGGATCAGCCAAGATTGTTTTCGCTTAGTTGAAGGACCTGACCTTGTTCAGCTCATGGAGGTCATTCAAGGGGTGTACCAGCAATTTTTCTGCACACCTTCACAATACCTTGCAGGCAATTTTACTGTTTAATGGAAAGTGACCCCGTGCCAGCAGATAACAGAGAAGACCAATAAAACAAGAATAAAACATTTTCATAAAAACAGGGTCGACATTAAAACTGCAAAGCTTACAAAAAAAGTGCATGCACTGATGTGCTTTTTGTTTTTGCACACAGCATCAACCTGGGACCCAAAGCACAGTTTGTCGATCAGAGTAGTAACAAGGTATTTGTTCTGCTGTACCGGTTCAACTGCCTGATTGTCCATTACAACAGGGGAGTTGACTATGGGATTGATAGCTTTTTAATGTTTAAAAAGGATGATTTACACCAATCAATAAAATCATTCTTTACGGGACTAGGTTCAGAGTTGTCACTGCTAAGGAGTGACACAATAACAGAATTATTTGGCTACATGATGGCTTTGGCATTCAAATGTGTATAAAACAAATAAGAGGGGAGGAGCCCTGGAAGTAGGGCTGAAACGATTCATCGATTAATAAAATGCTTTGTACAGCACACTGTTTCGCACAGACATTTATTACTGTCACACATCGTGCTTATGCTGTGAACACGACGTGATTATGATGGTGCTATTTGCAAAGTAGAGGAAGAGAGAGAAAATAGCAAGGGACAAAAAAGAAAGTGTCCAAAGTATGGGATTATTTCAAGCTAAAGAAAACCACAACTCTATAATGTTACCGTCCGTCCACCGTAAAACGAAACTTATGGATAAGGCTGGACGATATGGCCAAAAATGTTATCATGATAAAAGGTTTCATATCTTTTGATTTCAATAATTATCACAATAAGTATCAAATCGTTATTTCTTTAGAGTTTAAAGGCTGATTTTTGCTCCTGAGTGAAAGTTGAGGAAACCTGATGGTTAATTGTGGTTTAAACTCTTCTTTATGGTCAGCACTTGATGCCAAACAGTGAATCACTTAACAAATCTGACGTAGAACATTCAAAACAATTATGAGAAAATCTTTGTCAACAAATATGCATGAGTAAAATTAAGTAAAAGCTTTTTTCTTATAAACATATTAGTTAACAAAAGTCCTAATTTGTGTATGATTCAAGTGAATAAAATCAAACATTTATTGAATATTTATTGAACATTTGTTACACTGTTATAATAATAATTAGATAATTATTTTTATTTTATTGTCCAGCCCTAGTCTGGATGCGGTTAAAAGCAGAGGAGGAGTCAATAAAAAGTAGACAAGGGATTTGGCCCCCTCAAGATGTTTAAAAACCATGTTTAAAAGTGTCCCTGTTGTGTTATCCACACCTCTGCCTGACCTGAAAGTGAATTGGAGAGGAAATTTTCATGACGAGAGACACGATGACCACTGGTCTAAAGTCACTGAGTGTGTTTGAAGAATCTCAGGCACAGGAAAAATTAAGTCCTTCCAAAGACAATGAACCTTATGCAGCTGATAGGACAACTGGGGGATGAAGCAGAAGATGTCTGCCCTCAGCACAGCACCGTTTGATTTTTGTTTGTTTACATACAGACCACGTAACTTACTGGTCATTGCAGGGTATCTGTCCAGACAGTAGGGAGCTCCAAAGCCATTGATCTCCAAATCGGACATTAAGTCGTGTTCCTTAACACATGTTTCTATGAAGGCGAGAAGAAAGGCACTGCTATACTCTGACGTTTGCCTGTTTCGGAGTGATTGGACATTAGCAAGGATGACTGTGGTAAGGGGAATTCTCCTGAGCCTCTGCTGCGTCTCCCTCTTTTCCTCACCATCAGCTTTGACCTAGACACCCAACTGCAAAGGGTAGGTATGCAGAAAACCGTCTCTGAACAACAACACGTGGAACCTTGAAGCAGATGTGCCACAGCAGCAGAAGACCACACCGGGTGCCACTCCTCTCAGCTAAGAACAGGAAACCGAGGCTACATTTCACACAGGCCCACCAAAATTGAACAATAGAAGATAGGAAAAGCATTGCCTGTTCTGATGAGTCTTGATTTCAGCTGCGAAATTCAGATGGTAGGGTAAGAATTTAGTGTAAAAACATGAAAGCATGGATCTATCCTGCCCTTTATCAACAGTTAAGGCTGGTGGTGTAATTGTGTGGGGAAAGTTTTCTTCTTCTCTCACAATTTGGGCCCCTTAGGTTTAAACAATGCTTAATTGGTACTAACAGCGTACCAGAGTATTGTTGCTGACCATGTCCATCCCTTTATAACCACAGTGTACCCATTTTCTGATGGCTACTTCCAGCAGGATAATACATAATGCACAAAGGGGGTCCAACCCGATACTAGCAAGGTATACCTAAATAAAGTGTTTGGTGAGTGTACATGAAACAGTATCTGAAAGAGAGAAAAAACATTGAAAACGGGAAATGACATTGACACAGGATATGAACTCCACTGATTTTAGTCATGTCTGCTCAGCCAGTGAAATCAGCTGTATAATGTCCTCTGTAGTTCTGTAGGCGCTTTGTCTGAGGAAAAAAAACCCAATGATACCATAGGGATGTGTCCATTTTGTAGTTGGAGACAACAAATTAGCTGTGTTACAAACAATAGGAGTGTCTGCTTGACATTTGTGGTTTTTAATCAGACATGGTCCTTGTTATTCATAGGATGTCTATGTAGAAAGATAAGTTCACACGTGTACGTTGCTAAATTTTGAGCTGCACACAGATGAGCAGATGATTAAATGTGCTTTATGTGGGGCCTCAGTAGATAGACAGACACGGATATTTAAATTTAAGCTTAATGATGCTAGTGAGTTGTATTATTAAGTATAGGGACCAGCATTTTACCCCTTTGAAGGAATAGTTTGACATTTTGGGAAACAAGCCTATTCGCTTTCTGGCGGAGGGTAGCCTACATGAGAAAATTTATACCATTCTCATGTCTGTATGGTAATTATGAAGCTAGAGCCAGGAGATAGTTAGCTAAGCTAAGCGCAAAGACTGGAAACAGGGAAACTGCTAGCCTGTCTGATAAGATAAGGTAAGATAAGATAAACTTGATCCCACACTGGGGAAATAATCTTGTTATGGCAGCTCTGGATACAGATAAGATAAATCAGATAAAAATATAATGTATAGTAAGAATAGGAAAATAAGAACAAGAGTGCACACTAGTATCCTGTTTTTGATTTAATTCAGGATTTGACAGAGAAACTGGTTATTCATCTTTATGTAAATATAATTCTAATATTAGCCAGCAGATTTTAATTTCTAGTGCAGGTGTGTCTTTGACTTTTTCACTTCTAACAAATCTGTCTTCTCTGTAATGACTGAGTCACTTCAGAAGTAAAGGATAAAGTTTTTTTTTTTTGGCTACCTAGATTCTGCTGGACCTATCTTCACCATCTAATATTCAGTAAAAAAACCTTATAACAACAATTAAATCTTCTGCATTAGCTGTGTCAGACTTTCATTTCAGCATGTAGTAGACATATTTTAACATCTTATGAAGTATGTGAAAGCTTTGATATTGGATACTTTAGAAAATTTTGTTTGCATCTCGTCATACTTCCAACCATACATAGTTTTTCAGATCTGGTTACAAAAAAGATTAAATGCAGGAATCGGTTGCCTGGAGATGTTTTAATGCTACTTGGTACTGTACTGGGTATTTAGGTAAGGAATTGATACACAGCCCTACCATTGCATAATAGTAAGAGAGTTTGCATAATAAATTACATGAATATATTTTGGAACTGACATTACATTTTGCTGTATCACTGTACCATGACAAGGAAAGATATTTTGGTCACATTTCAGTGGATGTATTTGCACATCAACAGCACCTTTCTCAGTGTTTGAAGCTCCAGCTGAGCCCTCTCCTCCACATTAAAGTAGGCAGCTACTGCAGGTTCTTTAGTCTCCTGAGAATTTGGCACAAAAAAAGGCTGTGATAATTGGGGCGGGCTAACGACTATTTTTTTGGGTTCCCCAGATGCCCAAGCCATCTGTTTGGTTGTGGGCGAGGCTTACCTGAAAGGTGCTAAAAGCTGGAAAGAGGATTGGCAGTATTGGGACATTTATTACACATCTTGCTTTTAGAGATACTCGACATTGGCTGATGTCTGAGCTCTCCCTTGTGAGTTTGGGGAAAGTGGTGAAAATCGTAGTTTCTGGAGCCCTAAATGTCCTCAGTCATCATCATCTTTTCTAAATGTTAAAGAGCTGGTATTATTTTTAAGGTTCAAAACCTTATTTAGGGGTTGTACCAGAACACGTTTACATGGTTTAATATTCAAAAAACACCATATTTTGGTCATACTGCACATTGCTGCAGCTCCTCTTTTCACTCTGTGTGTAAAGTTATAACTGTGCTCTGTGTCTACATCACAGTAACAACTTTCTGTCCATTGACAGGGGTAGCTGGTGTTTGGAAGGGAGAGGAGGGGTGTGTGCTGCAGCTCAGTGTTTTTGAGGCACCGGTGTTTTTGAGGGTGTGTCGGCCTAGCTGCTTGGCGAGCGTTATGACGTGCATTTTGCTTTTATCCCTGGGACGTCACAGGGATGAAAGGGAAACGGCTGGACTACAAATGAGCTGTTTTCAGGCAGTTCAGAGCAGAGTTTTCTGTGGGAGATGCAAACCTATTACATGCACAAAAAAGGTATATAACTCAATAAAGGAGAAGGAAAAAGCCAAAAAAACATAATACCACCTCTTTAACACGTTTCTCCTAAACATCAGCAAATTTAACTGGCTAGTGTTAAATATGTTGTTATACTGTAGAGAATAATGCCACTGAATGACCTTACGTGATGAACTACCCCACTCCCCCTTAAACACCATTCACATTCTGAAATATACAGCAAAACCCAATGTATTTTTATATTTCTTTAGTTAAAAAAAATTCCATCTAAAACAATGTGTTACTGGCTAAGATACGGTATATTAGATTGTACTCCGGATGGAATAATATAATTATAAATTAGTTTTCTTTGTTTTGATATTGGAATTATATATCAGCCATCTGTCGCCATGCTCTGTAAATATGGCATTGGCCATTGAACAACCTTTATCTGTCGACCACAATTTAATTCTGATTTCTGATACATTTGAAATGCATTAAATCAAAAATGGTAAATTAGATCAGGTTAACGTATTTTTATTTGCCTGGAGGCCACTGGGGATAAAGGTGAAAGACAGTAGCGTTCTGTCAGTGTCCAAATTTAACTCCTTACAAGCTGTGGATACTGTATTTGGAGAAAATTATGTTAGTGCACTTCTGTCCTTTTTTTTATATATTTTTTTTCCCTTTGTTCCAGTAAAGGGAATATATTTTTGGCAATAGTGTTCTTTCAACTTTGTGTCAACAGTTTGGCGAAAGACATTTACTTTTTCAATGTGACAATGCCCCCGTTCGCAAAGCCACCTCCATAGTTTTCCAATTTGGTGTGGAAGTTTCATGATTATCATAATTCTTATGCATTAATTAATTTAACAACACTAGTAATTACTTAAGTTGATTTTTAATATTTAATTACATTAACATGTATAGTCCTACATCTATAATGTTATGTTAGTGTTTTATACCTCGCAACATTTTCTCAACACAGACAGGAGGAGGCAACAGGATGTAACGTTAAATGTTCAGTGACAGAAGGGTTTGAGAGGACTACGTTCTTCCATTAAGGCCCTTTCAGAAAAGAAGAGATGTGCGCTGTGTGGAAGCTGCTCAGCGCAGAAGTTTGACTACTTTGACAGCGGTGTGCGCACAAGATCACCAAATGGTGCGCTGCACGTTGCTCGATGCGGCAACAATCTGCCCTGGCATGGCAGTGCTGTCGTTGCAGTGGGTCTGAAAGGTTACATGCTACTTTGTTTGTTTACGTTGCACTGAAAGCTCGACTCTCGCCTGTACAGAATCAATTGCAAGTGACAAATTTATATTCAAGTCCCTACCAACTTGCCACATTATTTATCTCTGTTATTATCTATTACCTTTACTCGGGCTTGCAAACCTGGGTGGTGAACCCACAGGTGCTGCAATCAAATTTGCTCCTTTAGCAGCAACCTTTTAACGGCAAGTTTTTGAACAGGTGATTTGTCATCTTCAGTAAACCCTGGTTAGTCTTGGTGTACCTGAAATGCTCCCACGCTGCCGACTTCTGCCGTTTCTTCGGTGGAAATAAAGCTTCACAGATTGTTCCCTCTGCCATAGTTAAGCCAGTGTACAGTAGTAGCCTCCATGCCTCTGACAAGCATGACACTTTAAGCTGGTGTACCTCTTGTGTAACTTTTTGTTTTCATATTGTGCAAGTTGCAAGAGTTCCCTGCAACAGAAACACTCAGTGTAGCAGAGCCTTTGTGATTAATTAACCAAGACATTTTAGTGAAATCTGGTAATCGCTACATCCCTAACCTCAACCCCATCCAACCCCTTTGGGATGAACTGGAACCCAGACTATGAGCTAGGCCTTGTAACCTAATATCAATGTTGGCTCTGACTAATGCTCTTGTGGCTGAATGGGAGCAAATCTGTGCAGGTTCCAAAATCTGGGGGAGAGACTTCCCTGAAGCCTGGAGGCTGTTAGGGTAGCAGGTTAATTCCCATGGTTTTCGAATCATGTTCAACAGTCTTGGGATGTTGGGTATTCGCAAACCAACAAACATCTGTAGACAATCAAAGAAAAGATATGGGGTGGGAGAAATTTATGGATAGGTGTAATGTGATGACATGATGGTTAACCTGAGAGTCATCCCTGACTCCTACAGACGTGGCACGCTTAACAATGGGAGGCTTTGGACTCCCAGAGGTAACGGATAAGCTGAAGTCCTTGGAGATGCTTTACCTTCATAATAAGCATGGCTGAGATCTGGTGTTGACCATCAGACACAGACACTGTGTATACCTCTACCTATTGGTGTGATTTCTTTAAGGTTGGGTACAATATTTGACTGTTTCCATGTATGCAAGCAGTACCAAGATCTTCTCTGATATTTGTGTTATATATAGGACAAGTTAATGTGATCAGTTATATTCTTCTATTCATTAGTGAAGACTAACCAGAAGTACAGGTTTTCTCACATCATCTGCACACAGCAGCTATTTTTATTGTCAAATTGATGATGATGTGCTCTGTTAGATTGAAGCTTTGCTCTATCAAAATAAAATTGGTAAAAGCTATTAGTATAGTCCACACATGCTTGGCCATGTTGTATATGTGGTAAGCACAGTACGGTAGGTTGTTGTCTTACCTTACTCGCACACTGCTCATAAATAATTTTTCTTATTGCACGTAGGCTTATCTGTTTTAAGGGCACATGCGAGAACCCACTGTGGGTGGAGATAATGAGCACACTGCAGCACACACAGAGAAGAAAGCGTCACATACACTTTTTCTCATTTATTAAATCGCACACTTTTTGCTGTTATGTAATCGCACATGACGACATTGCGATTAGATTAATTGTGCAGCCCTACTATTAATGATCATATTGTGAGTCCTCAGAGTCCAGGGAGTGTAAACACATTTTGAACTTTGTGTCTTTCAGGTCTACTCCAGTATGTCTCCACTGAGTCCAGAGAGTATGAAGACATGATGACCATCCTGACCTCCACCTACATAGAAACCGGCTCTGCTAGCTGCTTCACCTACTGCAAACCTCGGCTTGTCCACAGTGAGCTGCTAGAGAAAGAGGTGAGTAAGGGACAGGTGGAGGGGCATTGCCATTTAAATGTGTCCTGTTGCTTTAGCGCTACCTATAAGTGAAATGCCATAAAGTTTTGGAAAATCACTGAGTCGATATGTTCACCCATCATCTAAATTTGGCTACAATTGCATAATGTGTTTGTGTTATATTTCAAAATCTTCTGATAAATGATTGTGTTTTGCTAATGTGGCCAGATTTGTCTTCAACCAAAGAATCTAGAAAAGGCCATTCAGACAAACTGGGATATGCTGTAATTGTTTACAGAGGAGCCATGTATAGGATGACCAGCTGAGCTTCTTAATTGTTCATGGATTGATTGTTTGTTTCAGTTTGTGGATAAGAGGAGGGAGATGAAGGCAGACGGGAGGACAGACAAGGAGCTGGAGGAGAGCTACTGTTTCCTGTTGGCTGATAGTGAGAAGGTGAGATTAACACTGAGCTGTGTTGGTGTCCAACAGGGCAGGAAGATATAATTCGATGCGCACAATACAGGCAGTAACTATCCCAATACTTTTTTGTTTTTGATTGGCATTTATCCTAATCCATAGGTATTTTGTACCAGTTGATCTATTTAAATGAAGTCTGGCTTAGATAGGACACAATGTGACTTTGTTAAATGTGACAATATCACAGATTTTTGAGGACAGAATGACTGGATTTTTTTCTGGAAAAAGACAAAGGACTGCCATTGTAATGAACAGTTAAGACTTAGACTCGGATCAGTTGGTCAATAGATAATAGTGAATTAGCCTTATTCTTTAAGATAGATATTTTATTAAATCTACACTAATTGATCAATTTTCTGAATTATTTGTCCGATGTAGGTGCTCTGTCTCTGTGAGAAGGGGCTGACTGTGGGTCAGAGCTGGCTCACAGTGCTGGGACACCCCAATAAAGGTAGGAGTGAACAGAGACATGCTGATACATACAAAATAACAAAACAAACTGCTGAATGTGTCACAGGTGCTTGTTACAAAAAGGTCGTGTGTAGATGGTAACCCTAGATTGGCTCAAGACTTTGTGTCAATGTCTGTGTGAAACCAAAAGTCAGTATTGGCTTATCTTTTCCTAAACCTTACCAAGTATTATTATTGCCTAAACCTAATTTTAATCTCTCTCTCTATCTCTCTATCTATATATCTCTCTATCTATATATCTCTCTATCTATATATATATATATATATATCTCTCTATCTATCTATATATATATATCTATATCTATATCTATATCTATATCTATATCTATATATATATATCTATATCTATATATATATATATCTATATATATATATATATATATATATATTATATATATATATATATATATATATATATATATATATATATATATATATATATATATATATATATATATATATATATATATATATATATATATATATATATATATATATGAAGGTCCTGTATTTGACCCATTCATCCACCATAACCTCCTCCTTATGTGTCACTCTTTATACTACTCACCTGACTTCCTAAAGGCTCTGTCAGATTTACCAGTTTCTTTACAACAACACATTTAATCTTGGTTTACTGGTTAACTGGTGAGACAAGCAGCTCCCGGTATATCTGCAAAAAGAAAAGATTTACAAACTCTACTGATCCCAGAAAATTGCTGCTATCAGTATATATAATATTAATATTATTTTAGGGCGCTATCAGTACAGTGTGCTGATATTTTGTCTGATCTGTGACCAAAGATGTGTAGCACTGGATGTGCAAGTTCACTAAAATCTACCTACTTTGTTGAATCAGCCGCCTACTTGCTCACAAAATTAGTGTTAAATGAAAAGAACATACACAATACCTGTGATCTTACTTTTAATGAACTTTGTGTGTGTGTCCCTAGGAGTATATCTGTCCAGGTACTCAGACTTGCTCCAAATTAACCCCATAACCCCTGGAGCCACGGGGGAGATCCTCATCTTCAAAGTGATGAAGGTAAATCATCTGGCTGGTAGTGATCCTCATCACTGCCTCGGTCAGCTCTCCTCTCTTACTTTTTGCTTTGTTTTCATTTATTATTTTTGCTACTTTTTTAACCACAGGCTTATAATGTGGTTCCCTCTCACAATTATGACCGTGAGGATATTTATTTGAGTTTAAACTTTCATTAGGAGAATGATTTATGCCCGAAACTCTGGGTTTCGTTCATCATCTTGCAACTGCCTTCAGTTCCCAAACAGCAACATACTAGTCTACTGACAGCAGTGCCATGGACAACACCATTGTGTCGAAAGACTGAACGCCTGTGGAAATCCACTAGCCTTGAGGTACACAGGCTTTATCTCAGAGAACTTGTGTTGTCCTATAATGTGACGGTTGGAAAAGCCAGATCTGACTATTTCCGTCAACTAATAACATTAAATAAAAAAAAATCCTAAAGTGCTGTTTGATACGATCAATACACTTGTTTGCCCTGCTGCCCCAGTTATCCCTGTTTTTTGTGAAGCTGACAGCAATGCTTTTTTGGGTTTTTTCACTAATAAAATTAAAATGATTAAAGATAAAATCCCGTTACATTCGTGTGGTACCACTGCTGTCTTTAAGCCAGTCTCCAGCATGTGGTCCACTTTTAGGACTGTGACGATTTCAGATATTTCTGAATTGGTGACCAGGATGAAGCCATCTTCCTGTTCATCGGATGTCATTCCATTCAGATTATTCAAAAAAGTGTTTGAAGATTTTGGCGCTTGTGTAACCAAAATGGTTAACCTCTCGCTGTCTACTGGCGTTTTTCCAGATGCTTTTAAGCATGCTATAGTGGAACCGTTAATAAAAAAGGCAGGTTTGGACCCGTCGGATTTGAATAGTTTTCGGCCTATTTCTAAGCTCCCGTTTTTATCCAAGATCATTGAGAAGGTAGTCTGCGAACAGTTGACATTTTACCTGGATAATAGTAACATCCATGAGCCATTCCAGTCAGGTTTTCGTAAACAACACTCTACCGAAACGGCCTTACTGAAAGTGTCAAATGACATTATGATGTCTGCTGATTCTGGAAAACACACTGTTCTAGTTCTCTTGGATCTGTCTTCCGCCTTTGACACCGTCGACCATCAGGTTTTGCTGGAAAGATTAAGGGATCAAGTAGGGCTGTCAGGGTCAGTTCTGCAGTGGTTCACCTCATATTTATCTGGGCGTAGTTTTAGTGTTACAGCAAACCAAATAAGGTCTGAGTCTGCAGACTTGCTTTGTGGAGTGCCTCAAGGCTCTGTTCTGGGCCCCGTTTTATTTTTGTTGTATTTGATCCCTTTGGGAAAGATCATACAAAGGTTCAATGATGTTTCTTTTCATCTATTTGCTGATGATATCCAACTTTACTGCTGCTTCAAGCCGTCAGAGATCTGGAAGTTAAACTCCTTGCTCCATTGTCTTGTGGAAATTAAAAAATGGCTAAGTGAAAACTCCCTGCAGCTAAATGCAGACAAAACAGAAACATTAATCATTGCCCCTGAGGATGCAATTCCAGGAATTAAACAATACTTGGGTGATTTAGGCCAGTCTGCTAAGCAAAGTCTTAGAAATTTGGGAGTTGTCCTGGACAAAGACATGTCGTTAGTGCAGCACTGCAAGCAGCTGACGAGAAACTGCTTCTTTCAATTAAGGAAAATCTCAAAACTTAGAAATATAGTTTCAAGAAATGATTTGGAGCTAATCATTCACGCCTTTGTGTCGTCGCGGTTAGACTATTGTAATAGTTTATTTTTATGCCTAAACCAGAAGGAGCTCTCTCGACTGCAATTAGTACAAAACTCTGCAGCCAGAATTTTAACACGTACTAATAGGAGGTCTCACATATCACCAATCCTAAAAGAACTTCATTGGCTACCAGTGTCTTATAGGATAAATTTTAAAATTTTGGTTTTAGTTTTCAGAGCTTTACATGGCCAGGCTCCACCCTATATTAGTGACCTGATTCAGCGTTATACCCCTGTGCGTGCTCTGAGGTCTGTGGATCAGAACCTGCTGACGGTTCCACGCACTCGCTACCGTACTAGAGGTGACCGATCTTTTCAGGCTGTTGCCCCTAGGTTGTGGAATGACCTTCCACCATCTATGCGCTCTTCTGATTCTGTTGATGCCTTCAAATGCAGACTAAAGACACATTTATTTGTTCAGGCTTTCAATTAGCTACTTGTGGGTTGATATGATCATGTACTGTCTATGCTTTTATTGTGTGTATTTTATGATATTAATGTTTTTGTTGTGAAGCACTTTGTGGCCCTATACCTGTGAAAGGTGCTATAGAAATAAACTTTTACTTACTTACTTACTTACTTACCATGCCTCTGAGCTCATCGATGAAGTGCACAAATTGCCATAAATTCCTACAGAAGATTACCGTACTCGAAACAAACATACTTGCACTGTCATAAATCTCCCCATGTGGCCTTCTGGTGAGTTAGCTCAGCAGAACTGAACATGACACAATTTAAATGAACAAATTCTTAAGTGACACCATAACTGACCCTAGACTCGCTGGGTGCAAAACCTAAAAATAGATTTAAGATCGTTCTCTCATGGAGGAACATATTTACAGCTTTATGTCAGCCAACATCTGACGGACATCCAAAGGTCAAAGACTATAGTCACCCTCGCTATTACCGCTAGAAAACAGGTTTTAACCATTAATAAATCTCTACAAGACAGAAATGGGTATGGGTGCTGATTTTAAAAAAGATCCATCCAATTAAAACAGACTCCACGGTATTTAGGGGGCCTGTAGATATTTAGAAATATAGCTCTATTTACAGAGAGTAGTCAGAAGTAGTAAAGCAAGAATTAATTTAACTGTTTCATGTCCTTGACAAACTGGAAGCCCAGTTTTGTATTGGTGCACCACTGTTGTTGATGGTGGTGTTAGTTATCACTTGGTGAATACACATCCTAAGAGTACCTTTCTGCCACACTGAGTTGTTCCACTCCAGTTTTATTGTCAACCACCAAAAGCCACCAAAATCCTCTGCCAACTTCAGTAATAAATCTGGACATAGTATGTAGTGATAGAAATTGTAATAATCATATTCTGACAGTAGAGTTGTATCTATGTTTGTTTTCAGGGAAAAGTGAAGAGCATCTATGAAAACATGAAGAACCTTCTAGATCCAACCCCTCGCTTTGACAGCCACATCTCTAAGAACGCCAGCAAAGTCACTTCGCTCACCTCCTACCGTGCCTTCGAACTCACACAGGTAAATACATGGGGAAAAACATCTTTGCTACTATGGGAAAAACGATTAATAAGTACATAGAAATGGACCAGTTATCTCTGGATATTATTACACATTGGCCACAGCGGTATATAACATTTTATCTGCTGTACAGTGAAAAACATTATTTAAATGGTTTAAGATGTTTTAGTGATCAGCATGACTTTTTCTGTTGTTGTTATCAGGCTCTGTTTGTAAGATTCATGTTTGGGTCAAGTTATGGCAGAAACAACACTGTTTTTTAATGCCAAACTAAAATCATATTTAAAATCTTAGAACTCAGATTTATGCATCAGGGAGTTAGACTTGTCACATCATGATATTCCTGGTGGTCGGTTGACTTGATCCGTGAGGGCTTTAAGTGCCTAGAGAAAGTTAAGTTTGTTTTGTTAAAAATATTTCTATGTTTTCAAGTTTAGTTGTCCTTTAAATAAATAAAGCATTGCTTTGAACACTACTGTTCTGTTTATTTCAGCAATACTTCTACGAGTATTCATTTGATGAGCTGCGGGAGCGGCCTCGCCAGGTTTGTCCGTATGCCGTCGTGTCCTTCCAGTTTAAAGGGAAAGACTCTTCACTTCCCAGCAAACCTCTGGCTCCCATCAGGTATGGAGATCTTGAAAATTAAAATTAGGTCTGGATGAAAGTTAAAATGGAACATGGTGTCTGTAAACTCCTGAAAATTGTTAAAATGAGATTAAAGTCATGCATTTTTGTTTATAAAACTCTTAATTGACATTAAAATTACCTTAAAGTCTTAGGATAGGATAGTGTTGCTGTCTATGTATGTTTCTACATATAAATGGAAACATAGACAGTTTTCAGTTAAGTTCTGTCACTTAATTTGAAGCTGGTGGGCACACTGGATGCTGCATAAGTTACAATCTTGACCTCAGCACTAATATGTGAATGGACATGTTTTGTGTGCTGTGTTTGATGGGCAGGTCAAACAATCAGTCAGCAGAGGGGAGTAAAGGTGAGCACTGGTCCACTTTTTCCGTTATTCCCTGAAACTGACCCCAATGATCTCTCTCTCTCTCTACTCTCTCTTATATATTTAAATATATATATATCTATATACACATTGTGTGTTGCTTTTTCAGAGCGTCCTCAGTTCACAGTGTGGACTGGAGATTTGGTGAAAGGTGACCAGGTTCTCTTCCAGATCTGCCTTCGCTCCTTCTCGCCTCCCTTCCTGCCACACAGACTGTGAGTACTGAACTGACTTCTCTTGACTGTTCAACACTTCGAAAAGGTTCCTGTTTGCTTCATTACATAGAGTCACATAACAGGACCTAAAAAAAAAAACAAATGTCCGGTACAGATGTAGGAATGGGATGTGTTTTGTCTCACTTGGTTCATAATCAGAAATTAGAGACAATGTGTTAGCCAACAGTAAGTCCAATTTCTTCTTTATCAGAGGGTTTTATTTTGAAGCAGCTGCAGGATCTTGGGATCAAGCTCATTTGGTCATTTTCTACTCTGGCCAACCCTGGGTGCTTCTCAAGACTCTGTTTTCAGCTTGGCTTTGCCTTTCAACTTATCTGCCCAGCTTAGATTTTAAATATACAGGGAAAACCTTGAAGAGGCTCTGTGTTGGCACCATTAGCAGCAGATTTTATTGGTGTAACAGGAAGTAGTTAGTGCCTGGACTCTAACAGTTAGAACTTGGATAGATGTGTAGGTTTGACCAACACCAACCTCCACTGATTTCTTGATGAAAGAGAGCTAAACTAACTGTAACAAGAACCAACTAGAAGTTAGTAATTAGTTTCTTTAACACAGAAACCTGTTTCATCCTGAGTTAAACAAGGAAATCCTCAAATTTTAAAATTATTTGTTCTTTGTGTATCTCACCTCGTGTCTCCTTCAGACCAGAGAAGTTGGAAATTGGTTGGTTGATGAGGCTTGAACAGGTGACCACGCTTCTTCCCTCTGACCTGTTGTCCTACAACCTGTACAACAACAACCAAGAAGGTGAAATCAAATGAACCTCACAGTGATGGTACATTACACACAATGCAGCTGATTTTGAATGCTGATACTTTTGGACTTACTTACAAATAAGTGTGATTTTGTTTTGATATTTAGTTTCTTCAAAGTTGATGATTTTCTTGAAGCTTTAAATGGGTCGTAATCAGCTTTTACACCATAACAGGGTGCTACAAATCCTTGTTGGTGGGAAAGAAGAGTATACGTTGATTTGCCGCTTGTATTGTTGTAGCACTGTTGTATTGTGTAAATATCAAACTAAAACAGAAACTGTGTTTCTGTGTGTGTAGTTGTAAAGAACGGCCATTGCTGCAGTCTTCTGGAGGTAACTGACAGAAGTCGGTCTACGACCAATGTGACAAGACTGCTGCACGAACTGGAGATAAAGAGAGTGGTGGGTTTTGCTTTCCTAAATATTGTAAATTACAACCATGTCTTTATTTGAAACAAACTTATATCGCAGGGCTTTATTCTTAATTTCTCCTGTTCCCTTATTAATGCAATCTCAATCCTGTCTCCATGTTTAACTGGTAGTTTGATTAATTTGTCATTATGTACATTTCAACTGAAGTAATTCCATCAATACAACAACAATGTCATGATGTCATTTTCTCTTTTTAACACAAACTGTTTTTGTGAGTTCACTAACAGTGATTTAAAAAACAGCAAAGTAGAAGAGCCTGGAAAAATGAAGCAAATGAAAACCGTATTGGTGTTTAAAAATTGAAATTGAGAGCAGCAGTTTTCTCAAAAATAAGACTAAGTAGAAAATGCTTAGTCAACAAAAGTTTCTAGAGAATGTGTGAGTGACAATTAAAAGCTAGTGCTGCTTGCTAAGCTGTAACAGCAGAAGCAGCAGGTGAACAATAAACTGTAGGAGGAGAAAAAAGAATGAAGGAAGGAAAAGGGAAAGATCAAAAAAGAAACGCAAGGAAGACGAGACACAAGGGATATTGGGGAGTAACTGTTGAATGACAGTTGTCTGTTCTCCCTACAGGTTTTGGTGACTCCACTTACAGATAGAGGCTTTCTCTTCCTGCTATCCAGTGTTCAGATGGCCACACCCACTGGTATGGCATGGGGCACCTGGGGTGTACTTGTAATTTATATAGAGGGTAATGTTTGACATGCCAAAGTTATTGAAAAATAGGGCACAGCGGTGAGTCTAATTTAACCTCTCACTGGTATCAGAGGTTTAATTAGACATTGCAGAATAAGTCACACCATAAAAGCAAAGAGTTTTTCTTTTATGGAGTCACTTATTCCTCACTAGTCTTGTAGTGTATTGTTAATTCTTAATTTCATATTTTGGGACAGTACTCTCTTCAGAGTTTTTTTTCTCATGTGAATAAATGTTACATTACGACTTCAAGTTAGGGAAGCCATGTTTTTTGTATTTTCAGAGAGAGGAGAGAACTGGAAGAGGTGTCTTCAGGCCTTGTTTGTCTTCCCGGAGTCCAGAGATGTGGCCATGCCCTGTGAGTAATTTAGTTTGGTTTACTTTATTTACACAATAATGAAAATATAAATACATGAAAATGGAAAGACTGTTTTAATTGCTGTGCAGCGAACATAAACAGTAGGAAAAGAAAGGGAAAACCCCCAAGAATAAATAGATACAGGTACACTAACGGAAGCATCTTACTACAAGGTTCAGGATGAAATAAGGACTTTAACTGTAACCTAAAAGCTGGAAAAAAAACAACTGTGGACCTCTACCTTTTTAATTAAAAAAAAAATAATTGTCTTTATGGATAACAATAAGGCAAATGGGGAAAAAATGTACCCTGTAGTTGTATATGTATGTATTATAATATATATGTCTAAATAAAATTTACCGATGGGCAACAATGAATATTTTCTGAACAGGTGTAGGCTATGTAGGCTACATTTGATATACATATTTCCTTTGGTATGAATTAATTGAAATACAGGAAAATGATCAGCAAAATCATCTTTAATCCTAAAGTATTTTTACAATTGATTAAGATGTTTTTAATAAGTGTAGCTGATGAACTTGATATTCTGGTCGGTTTATAACTCACTGGATTAAAGTCAGTTGAATTAAGTAAGTTAAGAAAATCAACCGTAGATGGGAACTGAAACAAGATAAATGTTGAAATCACCCATACGCAAGTTCCTTACATATAATTTCCAGTGTATAATAAATGGCATCAATAAAAGTGCAGAACCTAGTGGTCTACAAATACACCCAGTTATAATGCTTTTCAAATCAAAGAGTAGGCCTCCTACTTTGCCCTTTCTGCAGGAACCTACAACCCTTAAATGAGACAGAGGATGAAGGCATGTAATATCATTGAGAATGAATAATTTAGCGAAATATACTGTCAAATGATTATAGTTTTTAGGTAGACTACAGATATTTAAGCGCAGGGTAGAAAAGGCATTTCAGACTAGATGATTATCATGCGATTGGTTTTATATTATACTTATGATTGTTATAGTATTGGCATGGAAATTACCATGATTTGTATCCGGATTAAATTCACTATTCATCATCTCTGTCGTTCAGTGTTTTGTTGCCTGAAATAATGAGCCAAAGAAATAATGAGCTTGAAGGGATTTTAAGTCTTCACGGAGCTGTAGACTTTTCTCTAGACAATTCTCTGTTGGTTTGTCAGCAATACATTACACATAGTCAGGTGATGTGTCTTGATATAAATAAAATTGATGTGCAGCTTTAACAAACACAGAGGAATCAACTGCAAATGCTAATAAACTCATACTTTATGTACAAACTGAAGCTTTGACTTGAAAATTATCACAATGATATAAATATTGATGATTTTTTTAATTTCTTCCTATAGCATTAAGGTGTGCCTCCTCTTCCCATGATGCCTCACAGTCGTTGATGTCTGATGTCATGGTGATGCCACGTCTAAACCAGTTTATTCCAGCGTTGCACCATGCCCTGGTCAAGGCCCGAGCCAACCCCCCCCCTGAGCTGTCTGCTGGTGTGGAACGCCAGGCACGGGAATACCTCATCGGCCAGAATGAAGGAAAGGTGCGACCAACTTCTCTTTAAATTGTTACCTCCAAATTTTTGTTTGTATTTTATATTTTCCCTGTACTGGGGCATGATCTTCATTGGATTTTCTGTGTTTTCTTTTTTGTTGCTGCTTGGTTCGGAGTCATTGATTGGTAAACAATGAGGGATGACTATTTCATTCTAGCAACCAAAAATGCAATGTAAATTTGAGCAAGATAGTTTGCTGGTGATTCTAAAACCCTGGGAATAAATCTTCTGCTAAAACAGCCTCCAGTCTTCTGGGAAGTCTTTTCAAAAGAATGAGAACGTGGTTGCAGGGATTTGCTCCCATTCAGTCACAAGAGTATTGGTGAGGTCCAGCAATGATGTTGGGAGATAAGGATAGTCTCACTGTAGGCTTCCAGTCCATTACAAAAGTACAAAGTTGATGGATGGGGATGAGGTCATGGCTCTGTCCAGACCAGTCAAGTTCTTCCACACCAAACTAGGAAAACCCTTTTTTTTATGGAGCTGGCTTTGTGCATGGTGGCATTGTGGACATGGGCCTTCTTATACTTTGCCATGTATTCAGTCTATATTAGGGCTGTCCCCGACTAAGGATTTACATAGTCGAATCAGAATCGTCAAGTCCTGCCTATAGTCGCATCATGTGTGTTTTTGTGCGCGGCAATTGCGAGCCGGGGGGTTGGTTACACACGGCAGCTCCGAAGTAGCCGGCTATTTCAAAACAATAAAATATTCTTTGTGCGTTTCATCTACGGTGACAAATCATCCAAAAGTCCCACGAGATGCGGACAACTCGGCACAACACCAGTGAAGCTGGGGCTCCGTCTTTTCACCGTCTGTTCCTCTTCTGCCACTAGGCTACACCATAGGCCGTATAAACGCTACGCCTACACATGCGCACTGACGACCCAACATTTATTTTATTATTTATTCTTTTTACATGTTTATTTACAGCATTAAATGTTGAAATGCCTATTGGAATAGGCTGTATATTACCTTATTGGGAGAAAACTGGTAGTTCTATGTCGTTGGGTCGCAGTCTCATATCGCCAAAATGGCATGATCCTGGTTTCGCTGCGAAGCTTCGACTGTGAGATTGCCGAATCAGGCTCCGCCCATCGAAGCATCGAATCTTCAACTATTGGGGGTCATCCCTAGTCTATATGTATGTTTATATATGTTTCTTGAATAATTTTTCTTAACATACATAAGTACATATTTAGGTCTTTTCTCTCCAGGTTCGACAGTACCCGATGGGAGAATACGAATCCAAATTGGATGAGCCAGGAAAGCAGTTTCCTGCTCCAAAACACCACCGGGTGAACATGGATGGCTATCTGCGGTCCTACCTGTACAGCCCTGCCCTCTACCTGTTGTCAGTGGCCCGGGCCACGCAGATGGTAGAGGCACACTGTGGCCCTGAGGAGCCACAAGAAGTTAGGCTCAGGAAGAGATGTGGAGGCCAGAGGGATGTGACAGGGAAGGAGGCGACCAGCAACACTAATGATGGGCCGACCAACACTCAGAAGGTGAAAACTGCGTTCGGGTCGTAGTTGAAAGAAATTGTGTTACTGACATGACATGACAATTTTAATGACGCACAATCACTGTCTCTAAATAACACCTATCAGAGAGATCTGCATGTGATTACTGCCCAATCAGGAACTTCCCATCTCATTAGGAGGAGTTTAGTATGGGATTGGGCTGTGAGGTTTAAAAGATGATGCCGGGAGAAATGTTGTTTCTGCATTCTGAATCCAGACCATTCTTATTCCAGATCTGTATTGTACCGTCTACAATCCCTAGAATTAAGCACGTTATACCAAAGAAGGAAAGGTGTTCGGTTTCTACGAACCTAATCATGGTTATTTTATTAGAAAGCTGAACAGAAAGCAGAAAAAAACATGACAACACTGGAAAACTTAACAGAATGGAGGAAGACAATTTCTCCAATATGGTGTCTGTATGGTGTAAGGAAGACTATTTAGAATCACCAAATTCACTTGTGATTTATCTGTTTTGTGTCATTTTGGCATTTCAGGTTGCAGTGAACTCAAATGTGTTTTCTTTGTCACTCAGATGCAGCAGCTCATAGACCTGGTTTTGACATGTAAGAGGAATGCAGAGAATGAGGTGAAGAGGGAGGGAGGAGGAGGAGGGGTGAAGGCACCAGGGAGGAAGAGGAGACTAGAACAGGAGATGGCAGAGAGGACACTTAAATTCCTGAAGGCATCACAGGAACCCGGAACACACAGCAAGATTCCAGGTGAGGAGACAAGAGGCATGAGGAAGCACGAGCGGCTTATTTTCCCCTGCCTGCAATGTGCTTCAGGGTTTGTTTTGCCAGCCATAGATACAGGTGATGTTAGTGGACCTTAGTTGTTAAAAAAGATTATCTGTCATTTCTGTACCATTTATTTGTGCATGTGCAGACTTAGAAGTAATTGTTACAGAAAATGCTGGAGAGGCTAGCTCGTGTCTAGCTAGTGTCTAGCTCTTGGGGATCCCTCAGGAAAATCTGGAGAGAGTGGCTGGTGAAAAGGTTGTCTTGACTACCTCACTTTGACTCTGACCCAGATATACGGTGAGAGATGGATGGCTGTGGTAAATTGTCAAAGGCATTTAATAGATGAATGTTATAGAACAAATAATTAATCCATTAATAATGAAATAGGGGTTTGTTTGATTTTCAATGAGTCAGAATTGGATATGTATTTGTGAAATTGGAAATTATTATTCTCCATCTCATTTTCTGGCTGATGTAGGAAATGCATCTGCTTGTGAATGTGAGTGATGTGAATGCATCCTTGCCACTATTTGCACTGCTAAGAGCAAACGTTTTGTTTGGGCAACTCTTGTCTTCTCATCAACTTTGGTTGCATTTACCTCTACAGTTTTTGCTTTGCGTTCAAATTAGGATTGCACCTAACAACAATTATTTTTTTGATTAATTAACGACTAATATTGAGATTATTCTAAAACTTACTTTTATTACTTTTATTATATATAACAATTAATTTACCCAAAATAAATATCCATAAATTGTCTCATTAATATTTCAGTAAAATATTGAATCATTTCCTCTTACAAACAAACAAATGTCACAAGAAACAAAGTAAGTGATGTAGGGCATTATTCTGCAACAAAAAATGTCCCTGTCTATAGATTATTTTAATCACTGTATGTCATAGCAACCCTTTCCCTGAACTGAAGAATCAGTAAGTAGTTAACCTAAAAGTTATGACATGGATTTATTTCATCACTGGAGTAATATGCAGTAAGATAATCACTGGCTAATGTATTTTTCCGTCAGTGTGGGGGGCAAACGATTTACAGGCTGTAACAGCAGTCTCTAACGTTAATTTAAGCTGTTTTCTCTCTCATATATCGCTGTTATAATGTTAAATATCCGAATAACATTGTTAGATGATGCATGGTGTAATGTTTATCATGACAGCAGTGGTGCAGAAATTACTTTTAACATGGACATTTAGAAAATCAATTTTAAGTGGCTACCACTAATAGACACATAGCAAAAAGTAAACTTAGTGCAGTTTGACAAAACAATCTGGGATGTATTTTGTTCGTTCCTTACAGAGACCACGTTGTTGGGTCTCTGTCTAAAATACTCCCACACTTTAGATCATTGTGGTGAGTTTTTTTATTTTTTTATCTGCAGCTTGATCCCTGCTTTGACCGGGCGCAGTACTTAATTGTGACACGCCGCCAACAAACATTCTGCAAATCGACGTATTTCCATAATCAGTGACAGTGATTACATCAAAGCGTCTCTCCAGTCCAAATTAACACACCTTTTTTTATTGTTCTCTTGCAATCAATGGATGATGTGTTGCTTACTGACATGTTTTCTTACTGCTTTTGGCTCCTAGTTGAGGGTAACCAAGTCCCTACCTCTCCTGGCTCTCTTGCATCTGTGATTGGCTCAGTGGGTTTGAAGGATGTTGATCTGAGGGAAGATGGATCTGAGCTAGCTGCCAAACTTCTCAACCTGCTCACAGGTGACTTTCTGCTGGACCAATATAGACTAACTACTATACCACATGTGGAGCCTTCAACTTTTTATTTATATTGTCTTTGTTCTTTTCAACCCTTTTGTCAGCCAATATCTGTTTTTGCTTTGTTGCTGCAAAGTAACCCATTCTTTTCTGCAGTTCATCATTGACATCAACTAATTCCAGTTTGCGATGGACATCATGAAATCATTGGTTATCATGATGTTAACAGCATGATGTAACCTTTGAGTGTATGTTTCTCTCCTCACTGACAGGCCTCAACCAGGCTGCCAGGGGGACGGCCATTCAGAGCCCTTGTGAAGGGCAAGAGGAGGCAGAGAAGGAATCCTGTCCATTTGATAGGTTGGCCACCAAGCTGGGTCTGCCCACCAACTGTGACATTGACCTGAGGAAGCAGGAAGAGCTGGAGGTAAAATAATTGTGTAATTCTGTATGGTGTCTTTTTCACAAAACATTGTATAGATACATAGTAAGGACAGTTTCCTGTGGTTTTGTACAGACACCTGAAGTTGGTGTTGAATTTGCCTCGAAATATTGTCCAGAGACAAGGGTCTTTTTGTTCATTGATGAATCTAATCTATCTATTTTTGAAAGCATTCTTACTATATAGCATTTTTTCCACACCTGCTTAAAACATTTGCACAGTGCTGTAGATCATCATTTTTCAAAAAGTTCTTTCCAAATATTTTGGTTAAAACAATGGCTGACCAACTCCTTTTTGCCAAAAGGTTTAACGTGATCAACACTGAAAGGATAGATAACAGTCTATCTTACTCCCTATAACTGAGGTCCAACACTTTCATGGCTACACTCCATTGACTCCTATGCAAAAGGAGATGTTTTCTAGGCGTTAGCTTCCATCATTATTTTTTTTCATGTCAGTTTAAGTCTATTTGACAGCCTGAAAACAACCTTCAAATGCACAATGCAACTGCAGCTTCTTGTTTTCTGTCTGACTTAACAACAGTAACTAAAGGGGGCGTGGCTTAGCGAAGGGTCAATTCTGGCACATAATACATGTATTTATGTGTCATTAGTGTGCATTGTCACTGCTCAATAACCTGAAATAAAAATAAATATACTGGCCATGAAGGGATACCTTTACTGTTAGAGATGGAGCACACAGTCCTCGTTGAGGACTCTTCTGAGGCTTCAGAAGTCTGAGTTGGATAAAATGATGATTACAATGACCTGTAAGTCTAAACAAACATTTATCATGTGGGTATTGTTTTAAGTGACTTCAAAAAATCCAAATATCGTTTTAAGTGACTTCAAAAAATCCAAATATCATTTTAAGGTATCTGTGCTGGTTAGTTAATAGCTAATTAGCTAATAATGTTAATTAATTAATTCATATTACAATTTTTTTTAATCCCAGAGGGAATATTGTATTGTCTTGTTAACGTACTGTGTGTGGGTGTGGGTGTGTATGTAGCAAGCTGCAGTAAGACATCGTGCAATACATAAAATGATTGCATTTCTTATAGGAGCAGACAGCGGGCAGCGTCAGTAGTTTGGAGGGATTCAGTCCAAGCTCCCACAGCGGGGAGTTGAATCACCAGGGAGCAGCGGGTAGAGGAGGAGGGTTGGAGAGGAGAGAAGGAGGATTTGAAGAGGAGGACGACGAGTGGGAAATCCCTTGGGTCCTCATTCCCATTACAGGTGTGTCTGTCTGCATGCCCAATCAGGGCATAAAAACAATACCATTTATATAAAATTCCAGAATAGTTGTTGTTGTTAGTAATCTAATATTTGTATTGGATTTCAACAATATAAATCAGGAAGCAAACAGATTTGCTAACATTGACCGCAGCCTACATCCTTCCCATACATAAATACATCATAAGAGAAAAAAGAGAGAAACAAAGGAAAAAGAAGAAACAAGGGGGTGATAGAAGTCCTCAATCACTAATTTGTCCTGCGTTGGTCATGTGTCACAACTGTACGTAGTCTTTAAATTTTCACACATTGGCTACCTTTGTGATCAACATTTTATTGCTTTTCTACATCCTGTTACGTGAAACAAACATTAGAATGAGAATCGTTTAATAAGCAGAGAGTCAAGATTCTACTTTGAATTTCACAGATGAGACTCAGTCAACACACAGGTGCATTGCACTCTTCCCCGTCCAAGTTAAACAGTGTTGTGTAAAGCATTAAGTCACTTCTTCCTCAAACTCTGGAGCATGGTTCCGTTCTGATCACTCTGACAGCAAATGACCCATTGTTTTCAAGCCCACGAAAAGCAGCCACAGAACACTGGTTTCTTTAAAACACAGCAAATATGCATTTAACACTATACACTTTTCTAAAGCAGCTTCTTACTATGCCCAGCACTCAGGATTAAAGGGATACTTTGTGATTCTTATCCAATACACTTTTTGTAAGCGGCAAATATTTTCTCATGGTTCAGTAGCTCTCTGTTTTTCGTGTGCTCTGAAAAAAAATCCGGTTTCCCTACTCAGCCCTGGGTCTGTAAATTGAGCACAAACAAAGCTGCTCAGAGCGAGCAGCAGGTGGCGCGCTCGAAGCAGTGGGACACGGAATGTAAAAAAACAGCGGTACATTCAAAGATGCTGGACTCATTACGGGACTTTAGCTGTGAATATGACTGAAAAACAGCCACATAGGGAAAGGTCTGAGGAATTGTGAAACAAGTTATATGACCAGGCGAGGGAAATACCTGTGTTAACATCTGTGAGGGGTTTCAATGCTGGATAAATCTACAAGATTTTAAAGGAATGAAAACCGATGCTGAGGTTGCTCTGTTTCTGCTGGACAGGTGAGTAGGCTAACGTTAGCTTTGCTGTTCCACATAAACAACAGGTTCAGTATTACAGTCTTGTCTGTCTGTTGTCATGTTTGTGATGATCCTAGCTGGTTAGCTTTGTTAGCTTTGCCGCAGCGGTCAGTATGTGTTTGGTAGACGAGAAATAGTGTGTGTGAACGGAGCCCCGGTGAATAGAAAGAAATGGGTCAGCAATAAGGCTCATTCAGCAGTAAATGTACAGTAGCTAGTGTATAAAGACTGCAGCTTCTCAGGACTAAAGAGGTGCTCCCGTGTGTTGCTGCCAACTGTTGAATAAAGTGAAGGAGGTTAGCACTGGCTTTGGCCCTGGAGAAAAACAGTCGCTCCTGTGCTTCCCAAATCTTATCAGTCACTGTATTTTCATATAAACCATTTCAAATAACTCGCTAGTTTTTTACTCTGTTCTGTTTTGGATGTTGCATTTGTGTGCTTACATTTCGTTTAATGTTTGATGTTTGTTCACCAATTGTAACTATTGAAGTTCCTCTCGATAATCCTACTGATAAATAAACTAGACTCCGTGTCTTAGATTTAGGCTTAGGGAAGTATTTTGCTTCAGTACATATTTAAATATTGACAGGCTTGTTGTCTCACCTTCTACAGCACTGCAAAAACATGCCCTCTTAGTGAGGCTAACTTGCTCTCGGACAGCAAATGCTGTGGATTCTGCTGTATTTCAGCAGAATAGAACTGGTTACCGTGACAATGTGCATTCATGAGTTTGTTTATCAACAAACTCTCTGCAGAATTGCATAGTATCCCTTTAAGGCAACAAGATCGCAATGTTAACTGTATGATAGGAAATACACAAAATATTTTAGCTGTTTGGTTAAATTTAGTATGCAATGTTGGTTTAAAGCACTAGGTTCTGACCAGACTGCAGAGTCACTGAAATGAATAAAATGAAATTTGAAGTTTATTGTAAACTCTGTCTGCAGGTCTGTGTTCAGAGAGGTACACTCAGAGAGACAGAAACATCCCTCAGGACCCTCGTTTCCAGCACTGCACCACTGCAACAAGCGTCACCACAACAACCAAACCTCGCAGGAAGAGCCCCACCCCATCTCCGGAGCATAGCCTTCCTCCCTCCCCCTTCCAGTGCCCATCCCCTGAGCCCAGTCCTCCTCCCTCACCCTCACAATGCCCATCACCTGACCCTAGCCTTCCCCCTTCACCCTCCCAATGCCTGTCTCCAGAGCCCAGTCCTCCACCTTCCGCGTCTCAATGCCCGTCCCCTGAGCCCAGCCCTCCCCCCTCTCCCTCCCAGTGCCCATCTCCACAGCCCAGCCCTCCCCCATCTCCCTCCCAGTGCCCATCTCCACAGCCCAGCCCTCCCCCATCTCCCTCCCTCTGCCCCTCTCCTCAGCTCACCCACACCCCCTCTCTCTCCCAGTGCCAGTCCCTAGAGCCTAATGGGCTCAGCCCGTATAATAAGGACTACAGTAGTGCTAATGAGGAGCAGTTAGCCCCCACAGCCTCCATGGAGTTTGCAGGTAATGTCAGCCACACTGAGTTGGTCTCAGGGGCTACTTGTTGCATCTGTTCAAGTTTTAGACTGTAATGCCACCAAACCGTAGTGTTCCCAAAGTCTATTAGTTAAGTGTCTCTAGAACAGCTTCAATTGGCATAAACTCTTCAAATCTCTGTTGGCATAAAATCTTCAAATCATTTGCTACCTCAATCCATAATCTTCCATAGATTTCAAGTTGAATTGACACCTGATGACTGAAGTCCATAGCTGAGGAAGTTGCCTAAAGATTAACTTAACACTAAATCTTTTTTGAAATACTAAATCATATGTACACAATTAAGGAGGCAGTTGCCTATTTCTAGAGAAAATACAGTAATTGTGTCCTCTAGACCAAATCAATTTGATACTGACTTGTACTCTACACAATGCACTGTCCCGCTAACCCGGGAGCTGTTATGCCGCATCTGCATTTATTAGGTTTCTTCACTCGTTTATTCAGGTTGTTCCTTTAATTCATCAGTTGTCTGTATGTATTTAATGGGAAGCCCTTTACTCTTCATATTATTATTATTCACATTGAGCCATGACCACAATCTGCATATCACTATAAATAATGCCCCAGCAGTCAGGTCTTGTTTGTTACACTGTTTATGTACTCAATATGCATCTATTGTGTTTCCAGTCTAACTTAATGTGCCTCCTGCAGGAGTGTCCAAGGACAGAGAAGAGAAACCTCAGGGAAAAGAAAAAAAGAATGAAGAGCCATCCATTTCTGCATCCATCCAGCCATCTATTCCTCCAGCTCCAGAGAGTAGGACAAACCTCTCACTACCACCCGGTGAGCGAGAGAAGGAACATGCACAGGGGAAGATGGCGGAGGTAAAGGCAGAACCTGTAGAGGAGGAAAAGGAAACACAGCCAGTTGAGAGAGTGCAAAAACGAGATGAAGAAGAGGCCAACGAGGGTCAGCAAGCAAAGGAGGAGTTGGTAGAAATGATACATGGGGTAGCTAGTGAGCAACAAGAAGAAGTGAAGGAACATGTAGGTGGCTTTTTGTTTTCTCCGTCCATCTCCTCACCTCCTTCTCGTCCGCTCAGAGATATTGATGGCATTGTGGACAAACATCTGGGTGACTTTTCCTCTGAGATACAGCTTCTCCTGCAGGAGGAGAGCGTCCATTACAGCTTCCCACAGTCCCCACACTCCACTTCAAACACAGAAACCACAGCACTTGAACACACACTCCCACACACTCCCATATCTCAGTTTTCACAGTATGTGTCTTTCTATAACCCCTGCCCCCCTGTCCAGGACTACGTTAGCTCACTAAAGGACAGCATTAACAGCATGCTAACAGAGTTTGATGACAGGTGGCCAAGCCACAAGCCTGTCACCAGCCGGACTAATGCTGATGCTGCGTTGGCTAACAGAGTTAGTGATTTTGTGTCTAGCATCCGAGCAGCTAATGCTAAAACAGGCAGAGATGATGATGGTTTCTGTGGTGAACTGACAGCTGCTGACAGCTTTTCAGTCAGTCAAACTCCTGCCCTCTCCAGAGGAGGCGAAGTGTGGCAGCCACATATAATCACCAAACAGTTTCCTGATGCTGCAAACAACAGGAATCCCCCAATTTCTAATGTCACTTTATCAGTTACTACCTCTGCATCTGTTTCTGTCTACAAGCCTACCAATGCTGCCGTCCTCCATCCTTCTAACAATTCCCCACACTCCCACTGGAAACCACCAGTCGCTCATAACAACAGACAAACACAAGATGACAGCACTTCCAGTACTGTACACTGTACCACTGGTGTTGAAGGTGGGGGAGGTCTTGCAGATACAAACTATGAGGTGACTTTGTCCGGGTTCAGCGGTGTCCCTAAGCCCTTGACAGAACCATCACATCCCTCTGAGCCGGTATCCAGTCTGGCCACTACATCTGTCCTCAGGCCCAACATAGGTCAGGCTCCCCCGGCCACAGCCCTGAGCTCCCTGATCAGCCAGCTGCAGCCAGAGGTGTTCAGCAGTCTGGTGGAGATCATCAAAGATGTCAAGAGAAACTCTCTGCAGTTCTACCTCCACAGCACCGAGCCAGAGGACCAGGTCTATGAAGACGTCAAGGTAACCTCAAGGGCAGCATAGTTTATGGTGCATGAATAATTTGTTGAAAATAGATGAGCATGGATGCCTAAATACATACAAATCTATGTTAATATTTAAGTTTCTAGAGTTAGTCTGTCTTCGATGAATGTGAAAAATTAATGACTTCAATTGGAAGATTCCGGTCAAAAGTATGAAAGTACATTAACTGATTCAAACATTAGAAATGTAGTGAATATAATAACCAAACTGACTGAAGACTATTTCACCTCTGGTTTTGGAGCTCTTGGAAAATAAGGTGTAAAAGTCTGCTATTTATTTACAGTTAGTAAATTTTTTTGTGTGTACTCATGTCGTAGGAACACCTGTTGAAGCAGGGTAACATGGAGCAGAGTCCCATGGCCTTTCTGGACCAAGAAAGCTCTGACAGCAAACTGCTGGTCATCATTAAGAACAAAGACATTGCGGCACATGTACACAAGGTACCTCTAAACAATCAGTTAATTAAAACTTACATCTACTTCTGTACTTCTCTTTGTCCTTACTGCTAGTGACTGTAAAAGAAGGTGGAAGTGTCTGGCACTTGTGTGTGTAACCTAGTGGTCTAGGTTAACTGTTCTGTCGATCTATATTTCGGTATTGTACTTGCAGTATCACAGAGGGTTCAGAAAATTCTGTGGTGTTTGGTGTTTTTAAACCTTCCTCTGACTTGACAGGTGGACTGCAGTTTGTTTGTTTGAGTCTATTGATAAGACACGATCTTACCACCCCCTTTTTTAGTGCATCTTTGTATTGGCTTTCTAACTAGCTGACATGCTGTTGATGAGTTTTACACACTATGAAATACAGACCATGTGAAGTTACTTTATTTTGAATTAATATATTACTTTTACTTTTATGATCGCCCCTTCCCACCCCTTTTTTCTTTATCTCTCTTATTTATTTATTTTTTTAATCCCACCTGTAATCAAACATGCATGATTTGTACACAGACATGTGAACCTGCAAATCGACTACATCTTGTAATGGGAGAGCCATGTCTTAAATTTACTCATTTAGGTCACCCTTTTATCGAAAGCGACTTACAGTTGCTATATGTCAACTAGGGGTTAAGTATCTTGTTCAGGGACACATTGCTGGATGTGTCCCAGTGAGAATCGAACCCAGGTCTCTCACATGTGTCGCATGTGCATGCATCTTATCCACTACGCGATCGCAATCGTGAAAGAGGTCAGTTGCTCACCAGGTGTGCAATAGTTTCCTTCAAATAAGTGAGTAAAGTGAGTTGGCTTGAGCAAAAGCTCAGCTAGGTTGTTGGACCCGTTAACTTAGTTTATCAGGCAGCATGTAAAATCTGCTCCTTCAGATTTCATTTGCTCTGTGGCTGTGCTCCTGTTGGCTCCTGCATGTGTTTAGAAGAATTTCAAAAGTGACGGCCACCGGCAGGTTAAAAATTAGCTGGGACACAAGGCTACATGCAAGAGACTTTGTTCATATAAGATGTTATTCTGTGTGCAGTGAGGAGACTTTGTGTACTGCCACTGGAAGGAATTCACAATCAGCCATAGTTATAATGATGGATACAGTGGTTAACTGGATGATAAATAGCCAAACTAAAACAGGACTAACTGGAGGTGTGTTTGTGTACGCATCAGATCCCAGGTCTGGTGTCTCTGAAGCGACACCCCTCAGTGGTGTTTGTGGGAATCGATACACTGGACGACATCAGGAACAACAGCTACAATGAGCTTTTTGTTTCTGGAGGCTGCATCGTTTCCGATGAGTCAGTCCTCAATCCAGACTTCATTACTCATGGTAGGTTTAACTCCACTTAACAAATAATATTGGCAATCATGTTTTCAAGAAATACATATATTATTTTTCACTTTTGACAGTGAAAAATTATGTATTATTGTGTGATATGTTGATTAATGAGATATTGTTCTGCAGACCGACTGGCTGCACTGCTGATGTTCCTGGAACAGCACAGTTCTCCAGACAGTGTCTGGAGGTGGAAGATTCACTGCAAAACTCACAAGAAATTAAAAGAACAGTCCAGGTACTGATTTTGTACCATGCAGGCAGTCATTTATCTGCATCGGAGCCCAGTCTTTTTACCAAAAAGAGTCAATTAGCCAAGTTTGTTTGCATTATAAGCATGGCCACCTTTAAACTGGATTACTTTAATGCTGAGGAAAACATTGACATAATTATGAGAAATTACAGGAAGTGCTTTTTTTATGACTTACAAATGAATTTATGGCAATTCTTCCTCAATGGACAATGTAGACCGATTTGAGTGAGTTATGTGGGTTACAGCCCAACATAGGCAGAGCTTAAGATCTCCCAAAATATGAAGAACCAATTCAGACGTTGGAGTGTGACGTTTAGTTGAGGTCAGTTTACTGTTTACCAAACGGTTAGAAGAAGCACAGTTAGCATAATGTCTACTACATCCTGCTGGTCATATGGGCTCTGACTTGCGGCAGAAAGTGGAAACTGTTTTTGTAATACAGACAATAGGACAATAGGTCTTTTAACGTGTGTGTGTCTCTATGTTTGCTTGGTTGTCAGGTTCAGGAGAGAGGCTGCCAATCTCCTGGACGTACTGTCAGCCTATCAGAAGAGGCAGATCGTTGAGTTCCTCCCGTATCATCACTGCGACATGATGAACCATCACTCACCTAACCTGGACTGTCTGATGGAGCTTCAGGCCCGATACACACAATACCGACACACGGTCTTTCTGACTGGTATGTACATGTCAGGAGCTTCCACTGGGATTTAAAAACCTAATTTACCACCTGAACTGTACTTACAGTATGTTGTTTTTTTTTATACTCAGATCAACATTTTGAGAAGTTCTCTGCATACTCCAGTGGTGGCATCATTGTGGCCAGTATTGAAGGAATTTTACATGACTTCCCCAGACTGGTCGGTTACCATGACATCAAGGATAAACAGCCAATCATAAGTGATATGCTGTCTCCCAAAGGTCAGTTGTGGCAAATAGAAAATATAAAAATTAATAACAAATTTTAGTATTGCTCCATCACAACCATCTACATTCTGAGTTTAGATTAACATCAGTGTCAACATATAATGCCAGAGTTAAAAGAGCACTCCACTTATTTTAACATTGCACTTATAAAGTATATCATTGTTGGACGTCATTAAAATAATGCAATAGACCCAGAGATTTATTTTTGTAAACCACACATTCTTCTTCCATGTTAAAGCCTTTTGGCTACATTACCCATAATGCAACTCGACTGCAGACACTTCGGTGTGTGGATTTGGGTGTGTTATGCTAGTAGCAGCTAATGTAGCCTCCACCCTCCAGTCTCAAGCAGAGGAGTGAGCTACAGAGGTCTGGTGAGTTCATCTTTTTCTAACGCCACACCCCCAGATTTTTCCATTTTCAAATTTGTGGTCTTCAGCCCCAACCAATGCTGACTGAAGTGACATCACTTGAGGACATTTATCAGTTTTTGCACAGCTCCCTTTGTAGTCACAAAAGGCATTATACAACCATTTCTTTATATTTTTTTTACATATTGAAAAATTTGTAGACCTGTAAACAGAATTTAATGTGTAAAATCTTCACACTCCATAGTGTAGTGTGGACGAAAATACTCAGTCAGTCATTTTAAAAGTATGCATGGAAAATTAATATCTTTATTTTAAATAGCCAGGGTTAAATTGGGGTCAGAAGCCAAAAAAGGCTTTGAACCTCTGGACTCGATCCTCCTGCTGTGTTCTGCTGTCCTCTGTCCTCAGGTCTCGGCAGGCAGCTGAGTCATAGTGACTCTTTGTCGGGCTCTGAACGTTCTCCCTCTATCTTCCCAGAACACATCCATCCCCTCTCCTCCCTCGACCAGCCCCAACATCTCCTCCAGCAGTCCAGCCCCAGCCTCCACCCTCTCTCCCATCTCTCTGACCAGCTTGTCCCAGACACCTCCTGTAAGGAAGGTGTGCTGCACCATTCAGGCACAGACTTTGAGGTTCTTCGACTGGCCATCTCCCAGTTACGGGCTGAGCGCAAGGCACAGCTGCATGAACTGCAACAGCAGCAGGCAAAGTTGTGCAGCAACCCCCCCAAAAGCTTCCTTTCCAATACCAGTTGTACAGATAGCCATTCCACCTCCCCTCTTTTAGGTCAAAGACGTCCATCTGAGTCGGTCCAGTTTACTCCTGGCAGTAAAGCAGTGGCAGCCACTTTGGAGTTAATTCACTCAGCACTACAGCCGGAACTGGGGGAGGAGGAGATGAGGGCGGATGGGGCAGAGACTCCTACAGAGGGATGGAGGAGTGGAGGAAGTCGAGGAGGAGCAGAGCGTGTGGATCAGAGAGATGGTACTCCAATAAGAGTGGAAAACTGGAGTCCCAGTAATAGTGACAAGTCGACCACTTCATCCAATCAAAACACAGCTGCAGTGACAGGACCAAGTAACCAGATAGACTCAACCAAAGATGGGAGAGGGAAAGCCAATCAACAAGGAGAACCTGCATTTTCAAAAGGAGCTATACGCAGTGCTGCCTCGTCCAGTACCACAGTTTGTCCTGTAGAGGGCGACAGCTCAAGGTTAGTAAATGGTTAATGACTACTGCCTTTTATCTACAGTTTTTTTTATGATTGAATCTAACATTTAAACTGGTGAACAAGACCCTGGGCAGGTTGGTGTATTTGTCATCCTGAAAAATAGTTTGTGCTGATTCAAGTAGGAACCGTGGGAGGCACTGTAAGTACATAACTTCTCAGCCAGTGTCCTTGGCCTTGAGCTGGTTTTAGTCTTAATAAATAGACCACCAGTACAAACATACATACATATGCACAGTGGTGGCAGCAATAAACTGCCATCCATCACAGCAGCATGACTACAAGTACATATAGTTAAAAATCAAGTATTAAAGCCCAACCGATACAGATTTTGATATTTTCGGATTTTGAAATCGGATATGCCGATATATCGGCCGATTATAATTATATTTTTTTCTCCTTTTCAGAAACGTATAACATAAACAAAGATTATTTCTTACATGTTGTCTTGAGACCTCATCAAGAAAACAAAATGCTGAACAAAAGTACAACAAAATATATTGGAAGTTTTAATAAATAAGACAAAACTATAAAAAAAGTTGTAAAATCATTACAAACTACAGAGTAGCCTACTAATGAATGTTAAAGGAAATAGTGTGTGTAGTCTGTGTGTGCCAAACAAATAAAAAAAAAATACTAATATACTACTACTACTACTACTAGTACTAACAATAATAATAATACCATAAATTACTCATGTCATTACAATTATTATATTACATTATAATGATAAACAGGGCTCTCCTACAAAGGCTAGATTTTTTTTTTTGTCATGCAGTAGTTATTACCTTACACATAATCTGCCACAATGACTATTTTCAACATAGCATATTCACATCTAGTTTATCCCAGCACGCTTTTCATTCTATCCAAAGCTACAAGAATTTTTCAACCACCATTTATGTATCATAAATGACGCAGAGGAAACGCTGCTGTTGAATGGCGTAATACTACATGACAAAGCTAGCTAATGCTATGTTTATCATTGGAAGAGCGCTAACGTTAATGACCGGTTAAACTATAGTATTTAATGTATTCCAAACATATCTGTGAGCTGCTCGTCTGTAATTACAGTCAGTGCGTCGGAAATGATTAAATGATGATGATGTAAATAAATGTGAGCTGAACAAGCTTCCCAGACAAAGAAATGCATCTACCCCCTCTTTTAAATGTGAGAAGTTAGTGTGAAATCTCAAAGTTGCAGGTCCTCATTGTACGTTACACAGTGGCTAATCTAATTGAGCAATGGGCAGTGTTAGCTGTTGTAAATATTGAGAAGTGATGAACTAGGAAGACATGATAGGACCTTTCACTAGAACTGCCACTCTGTTTCAGAAATAAATCTACAATTAAGTCTGTTGACAGCGTAGCCTCCACCACTCAACTACTGTATCATCAAATATACTACTGTGACTGTGACCCTGGTGGAAGGCGAGAGAGAGAAATGAAAAACGGGAGGGTTAGCAAGTATGGCCATGAATGTTTTCAGGAGAGGAGAAGGGATGGGGGCTATTTTAATTATTATTTAAGTTATCTATTTAACGTGACAAATGACTGACTCATCGTAGACACAGCCACTCTCCGTTCCTCTTTCTTAATCCAGTAGACTCTGGTCAGCTGATTGTTTTGTTTTGTGGTGCCATAGTGTTGTAAACAGGGGAGTTGATGCAACACTCATCACATGAGTAATGGGTCCGACTCTCCGTGTCATAAATTGGCTGTTATAAACGCTATACCGATTTATCCGCAATTAGCTCATATCGTCCGACAAATTGGTCGGGCTCTATCTAGTATTTCATCTATCAAGTAATCATCATTTAGTAACTGAAAATATACTTCACCCTGACATGGTGTAACAAGAGAATCCCCATCTGAAATGTATTGCTTCGCTCAATTGGCCTGACCATTGGCCTGAAAAACTGGAAGTGTTAGACGCTGGCTGGCTCAAACCAGCTTGAACTGGTTTTTAGTATATCAAGAGCTGTGCTGTTTGAATAACCGGATGCCAGATATGCATTTTGCTTACATGAACACCAGAGATTAGCTAACCAAAATGTGCGTGGGTATAAGGCTCAGGGCTTTTAGACACAGAGGGGAGACGAACGTATGCCTCTCTTTGAAGAGGTTATTTAGCACTTAGCTTAGTTGCTTACCTTCTTGAGTAGAAACACAGACTCACTTGTGAAGAATCTATTGGGAATACACAGAGATTCTATCGGGAAATTGTACAACACAAGTTCATATTGTGACAAACTTAAGCTCTGATGAAAGACTATTGCATTGTGTAAAGTGAAGTGTATCCAGTAAAAAGGTTCCTTGTTACACTAATTAAGGAAAATAGAGTAAGTCTCCAAATGTTTCCTGATTCCTCCTTTCCTTACTGCTTACACTAGCTATGCCAGTTGGTATGACGTATCCTTGTCCCAGACATGGGCCACCCAGATTTTTGGGGAAAAACCCGAGGCACCGACTACCTGAACCTTCAACCAGGGTGATCTGACCGTAAGCACCTGTTATAATTGGTTTAGCTGTCTCACTGAATCTGTCACATGCTGTAAAATAACAGCCAACTACTCACTATACAGCTTCCGTGAAGGAAAGCTGGAATCGGAAGTGGCACAACAATGAAAATTGCTCTTTCAAAAATGATGCAGCGAAATGGGAGGCCTACTTCCGGGACCATGCTTACTTGGGAGAAATCTTGAACAAGACACCTCCTACCTGGCCCCTAACCCCGGTAGAGACCCATACCTTTTCTTGGGGGCTAGCCATAATGATACATGGCTAACAACCAAACCAACAAGACGGAGACCCCAAATGGACTGGAGCTCTGAGAGCCTCCCTTCGCAAATGGTAAACAGCCCACTATTAAATATTGTTCTAGTGGTATTTGCCATGAGACAAAGGAGAGCCTGGCTGATACTCAGCTTCGCTTAGATTTTTTTTAGATAAGCCTTAACTTACACGTTGCCTGTAGTCTTTATGATTATGGCTGGACTATGGCTTCCAGAAGAAAATATGGAGTCTTTCAAGAATCCCAAACTGGAATGGTTTACATGCTTCCACCATTAAATCAGCGAAGGGGAAGTGCCCGGAGCTAGTAAAGAGAGAAAAGAGCAGGGGGAATCCAGAAAGAGGTCCAGAAAGGCAGGTAAGTCAGAAAAAAGGTGTGCCACCTTTGTGCTATCCTGAGCCTATTATGGAACCGAGAACCTCTCCGCGCACTCCCCCCTGATCCTGCTGAGGTTGTTCTTCTGGCCCCAGATGAGTGGGAAGGTCCAGAAGTATTTGATAAATTATGCCGAGATATTACAGAACTCGCTGGTCCAAGCGAACCTGAGAACATGATAACTACCCTACCTGATAAGGACAGCGCACCAAGCGCATGTAGAAGAACATCCAGAAAAGCAGGTTAAGAAATAAGGCTAAGAAAATGGGAATGAAACAACGGAAGTCTAGTGCTTCAACCATTCCCTGGAACAAACCAGGAGAGCAGACCAGAACCATCCTGGGAAGATCTCTCGGGGGAACAGATTGAAACAAAGAAATTAACACTTCCAGAACCAGACGAAGATTCCCTCCGAGTATACAGTTCCTTGATGGTGACAAGCGAAGAATACAGCTGTTCGATTTTCCCATGAAAGTGCTATTTGCTTCTGCATATTTAAAAACACAAAGACAGGAAGGGACTTGTTGCAGATATTAATTGGCGTTTACAGTAGCCAATTACCCCTGAATTTGCGTTACGCCCCCCCCACCCCGCCATACAGACTAATTTCAGCTCCCCTCCTTTCCTGCGAGGCAGCTGACTTGCGATGTTGACAGAGCAACTGTCTACTGTCCCAAACGGGCCAGCAAATATCCAATCAACTTGTCCATGGGCCATAGGGCCATTGCTTATTTCAAACCCTGTTCTGTCATCGTCAATGTAGTGTTTCTTGAAGCGGAGTGGGATTTTGTGCTGATACCTTGGTTGTTAAGGTCTTGCGTGGACAGCTGACTCCTGAAGCTTTTCTCATTCTTGAAATTCCGTGCAGTGGTTAGTTTGTGGTCTTTAACGGCAACAACCAGCTTTATGCAAGTGAGGGTGATCCATGTCTAGCAATTCTATCCAACGACATAACATTAGACTGCAAGGCTGGTAGTGTCCTTGTTTCATCTCCTGGTGCTGCTTGTTCAGTCATTTTTTAAGGTATACTATGTGATTCTAATCCAAAATATTTTTTGTTAAATTAAGTGAATATTTCCTAACTGCCTAGCTCTCTGTTTTGTGTGTGCTTTGAATTTTTTCTTTCCTACATAGCCCTTGCTCAGTAAATGTAACACAAAGTGGCACCAAGCGAGCCTGAGCAATTCCCCCACAACAGCAACAGTTAACATTGGTGAGGTGTTTCCACAATACTGAAGAAAACAATCTTAGACATCTTATTGAGGCTGACTTGAATGTGGATTCTGCCATATTTCAGCATAGTAGTACTGTTTGCTATGACAATGCGTGTCCATAAATTTGGGGGTGGAGCTTCTGAGGGAGCACCAAAGGGAGGGGTGTGTTTGTTTGGCAGTTGAGTTCAAAAATCAACAACCTCGGCAGAATTGCATATTAACCCTTCAGTCATGAACTTGTCAGCTATTGCTTGTTTAACTGTAGCACACGTGTACTGCATGCATGACGCGGTGAATGCGCGACAAGGTGTTTTTGATAGTTGTGCAAAATGAGTGATGTAGCCTACTCAATGTCTGATCAGTGTTTCCCATTAATTAACGAGACTATGGTGGCCCGCCACAGTAATTTGTTCCGCCATAGTTTCAAAATGAACCGAAAATATATAAACACTAATAATAACAATAAAGCCCTTTTTAATGTGTTTTGCGCCTCTACTTCCCGACGAGGTAAATACAGTAATGTTAAGGGTTTGAACAGCTTTGAGTGTGTGTCCATTGTCACTTGTTTGTGAGAACGCGATTAAGCTAGCCGCACCTACATTTTGAGTGCACACGTATTTGAGCTCTTACAGTAAATGCACAGAAACAAACCAGAGCGAGCTGACAGGCAGGGTTAGCGACTTTATTCTGTCATTTTCTCACTTTTAACGCAAGACATGTGTTGCAGGACACTTACCTGAAGAGAGGCTGTGAAGTCTTAATACGTGTTACAAGAACAACATACAATAAAATTTATCAAATTGCCTCTGACTTGGTGAATTTAGCATGAGGATACACAAATAAGGTGTTAACACAATGTATATAAAGTATGTAATTAAGATTAATTGGATTATATTCACAGGAAGTATAGAACATGTTACATGTGTCCATTAACAGTAAAAAATAAAAAAACAATAAAATCTGGAATTACTATTTATTCTTCTATTTAGGTTTGCTGGAAAAACATTACATTAATTTGTTGACTTTTTGCTGTTTTATCACCTTTGACAGGTTTACAATGTGTTGTTGATCATTGTTTACTAGAGCACAAAATTGTTAATGAGTGCAAAGTTTTTCATAAATCTAGCCTTTGTTTTGCTGTCCAAGTGCACCAGATTAATGCATTTAACTTTAAAACTGACAACAAAAAATTCCAGTGGTGCATGCACCCGGACCCCCAGGCTCCGAGGTCCACCCACCGTAGTCTTGACAAATCCTGTGAGAAACACTACAGATCACACATTGTTAAAACAACAAATAAGATATTATCATAGACGATACATATCTCAGACCCATATCCACACTGCAAATTCTCCTGAAATTACGTTCTCTAATTTTTTCAGTTGAAATAATTGCTGCAAATTTCTGATCCTCCTCAAACACCTTGCACTGTTTGCTGTTTCACATCTTGGCCAGGACATCCTTTTAAAAGAGATTAAAAATCTCAATGGATTTCTTTCCTGGTAAAATAAAGGTTAAATAAAATAAACTTTGAAAATGCTACTAGTTCTGCATGCTTTAAGCTATAGACATCATTTCAACTTTAATGGTCACACGACCTTCAACTATTAAACTTGTATGTGGCCGTTAAATAAACAGAAAATATGAAACGCCTGAACGTTAGATGCCACGCAGTGTAACGTTACGTTACCATGACAGCAGTGGGGCAGAAATTACTTTGAACATGAAGGCGGTGAAGAAAAACTTAGAAAATACATTTTAACGGACTACATGTACTCGTGCTGATAATGTGCTGTGTTTGTGTGGAGACAGATTGTAAACAGGATTTGCGGTGTTGCCGTCTAGACAAAGTGCCCTGGGATACTTTTCACTTCACGGGTTCATGCTGCTTCACGTATTCGTTGACAGCAGTTGTGCTGCAGTGAAGCTATTTACAGTTCACAGAGCTCACGGAGTAGCATGTTGTTGAGTGTCTGTCTAAAATACTCCCAAACTTTAGACGGTCGAAGGCGCGGTCTTGTAGCTGCAGCTTGTCCGAGAAATCCCATTAACACCGGATGCAGCGATGCTTTGATGCACGTAATGAGAGTTGACATATTTACGTAACCGATTATGTCGACGAATCGCCCCAGCCCTATCAGCTGTTGACCATGTGCTCAAATGTTTCAAAACTGCTATTTTTGTTTTAGCCTTCTGTCTTTCTGTCTGTCTGCCTCTGGCTGTGTGCCTTCTACTCCATTTCTACTACTCTTGTATCCATTTAGCTGCAGAAACGATTCAAATATCAAAATGTCCCACTTTTTAAGCATGTGTGCTATGATTCACCTATTTACTACCTTCTATGTATTTTTTTTCTTTTGACATACAGATACCAGCTTTGACAATTGTAACAATGACATTTCCATGCTCAGCCTCTTTAGTGAATGCTGTTCGTCTTCCAGGTTCTTGAGCAGTGCATTTGAGCTTCAATAATTTTCAGGCATTCACTTTCAGACTTCTGAATTTTGGGAGTTTCGGGCCAAAACACACTTACATTGATTACAGCGCCACCTGCTGGTGAACAGTTTTGGTGACACAACAGTTTTCAGAAGTTTTGGTGTCACCATTCTTGACTACCCTAGTCTACACTCACCTAAAGGATTATTAGGAACACCTGTTCAATTTCTCATTAATGCAATTATCTAATCAACCAATCACATGGCAGTTGCTTCAATGCATTTAGGGGTGTGGTCCTGGTCAAGACAATCTCCTGAACTCCAAACTGAATGTCAGAATGGGAAAGAAAGGTGATTTAAGCAATTTTGAGCGTGGCATGGTTGTTGGTGCCAGACGGGCCGGTCTGAGTATTTCACAATCTGCTCAGTTACTGGGATTTTCACGCACAACCATTTCTAGGGTTTACAAAGAATGGTGTGAAAAGGGAAAAACATCCAGTATGCGGCAGTCCTGTGGGCGAAAATGCCTTGTTGATGCTAGAGGTCAGAGGAGAATGGGCCGACTGATTCAAGCTGATAGAAGAACAACTTTGACTGAAATAACCACTCGTTACAACCGAGGTATGCAGCAAAGCATTTGTGAAGCCACAATACGCACAACCTTGAGGCGGATGGGCTACAACAGCAGAAGACCCCACCGGGTACCACTCATCTCCACTACAAATAGGAAAAAGAGGCTACAATTTGCAAGAGCTCACCAAAATTGGACAGTTGAAGACTGGAAAAATGTTGCCTGGTCTGATGAGTCTCGATTTCTGTTGAGACATTCAGATGGTCGAGTCTGAATTTGGCGTAAACAGAATGAGAACATGGATCCATCATGCCTTGTTACCACTGTGCAGGCTGGTGGTGGTGGTGTAATGGTGTGGGGGATGTTTTCTTGGCACACTTTAGGCCCCTTAGTGCCAATTGGGCATCGTTTAAATGCCACGGCCTACTTGAGCATTGTTTCTGACCATGTCCATCCCTTTATGGCCACCATGTACCCATCCTCTGATGGCTACTTCCAGCAGGATAATGCACCATGTCACAGAGCTCAAATCATTTCAAATTGGTTTCTTGAACATGACAATGAGTTCACTGTACTAAAATGGCCCCCACAGTCACCAGATCTCAACCCAATAGAGCATCTTTGGGATGTGGTGGAACGGGAGCTTCGTGCCCTGGATGTGCATCCCACAAATCTCCATCAACTGCAAGATGCTATCCTATCAATATGGGCCAACATTTCTAAAGAATGCTTTCAGCACCTTGTTGAATCAATGCCACGTAGAATTAAGGCAGTTCTGAAGGCGAAAGGGGGTCAAACACAGTATTAGTATGGTGTTCCTAATAATCCTTTAGGTGATTGTATATAAAAGGCTATTTGCAACAAGAGCCCCACCTAGTGGCCAATCAATGCCAATGTTTTTGCACAACATTAAGGTGGCACGGGAAACTGTCCCAAGCTTTATGTTAATCAGACATACCGATGTGGCAATATGGAGTCACTTCATTTTTAGCACCACCTCGTGGCCAATTGGTGCCAAGAGTCTCTGTGGGGCATGGGAATGTACTAACCCAAGTTTCGTGGTAATCAGACAGACCTACGAGGAGATATGACATCAATTCCTGTTTCATCGGTAACATACAGGAAGTTGTTCCTCCTATACCTTGCACATTTTTAGGATTGTGAAAATGATTTTAATAACTTTCGATCATAAGAGTCTATTGATTCTACATGCAAAGTTCATATGGGAGTCTCTACCTAGGAGGAGTTAGAAAAGGTAGGTTTTGTGTATTTCGTGTGTGGGGGGGGGGGGGATTCTAGGTTGAAATGGGTGTGGCCTATATGAGATGCAGCTTAATTCAGTGAACAAGTGGATATAAGGGTGGTTTTTGCTTCTGAGGTGCCTGCAGCAGTCTATACCACCCATGTGAATTTCGCTTAAATAACGTTTACAGTTTAGGCTGCCGTATGACTTTGACTTCTGGAAGAATAAAAAGGAAGAAAAAAATTTGTGCTGGTACTGGGAGCCCCCAGTCCCCTTGGGCTTGGATCCCTAACTAAAACTATCCTGTTAAAAAGATCCCTTTCCTGACCATACCTAGGGGTGATTACTGTACACAAGAAAACGGGTTGGTAAATGTCAGCTCTCAGTAGAAAAAAGTTAGCATATTTTACTCAAAAGGCCAGAAAGCTATTGAGATTTAATATCCAGGCCTACACTGTAATGGACATGTTGACTGTACATGATTTCTCTCCTGCAGTTTGTCCGTATGTTGCTGCTGAACCTCTTCTTGTTTTCTTCCTGTAGAGACACACAGTCGGGTCAAGAGCTGCCAAAAAGAGGAGAGGGAGCACCACCTCGCAACAGCACTGTGGGAACTGCCAGCGGTACCAAGGTGACAGGAAGTCTCACCATGGTAACAAACCAGGAAGATAACCCAAATCCCGCTCTGTCCCATCTACAACAGATCCAACAGACCCAACAACATCTTCAGCAACTGAACAACCAGCAGCAGCAACTTAATGAGCAACAGCAGCTCTTGCAGAATCTGTCACACCTACAACAACCACCTCTCAGCCAGCAGCAGCGTGGTGATGGCCTCCTGCACCCCCTCCACCTGCCTCGACTCCCCAGCCAGTCTTTTTCTGGCAGCCCCTTGCTTGGGCCCCTGACTAACCTGGGAGGTGGCCTCCTGGGGGCCACGCCTGTCTGGCCAGGGGCATTGGGCCCTGCAGGTGCTGCTCTGGTCTGGGGCTTCCAACAGACCGGTAGGAACTTCAGTGGTCATAGACTGATGGGGGGATTTCACAACCCTGTAGGTCAGGGCGGCAACAGGTACAGAGGGAGGCCAAGAGGAGGAGGCTTTAACGGGATGTAGAGAGCCAACTACAGCAGTTAACCCAGGTAATAAGTACCCCCGCTAACCTCCACAGAGGGGGAAGAAATCCATAACTACCACCCTGTTACCAGAATTTCAGTCAAGTCGAATGAAGAGGTTGAAACACGTACATTCCATATGTCTAACCCACAGTCGTACATACCAGGGGCTCAAACTCATCTATTTTTGGCATTAATTCTTTTTTATCTGATATTAACAGTAGAGCTACAGTCAGATCATGCCTGCAGACACGGCATGCAAAAAAGGTCCTAGGTCAGAATCAAACCAGCGACGCTGCTTTTATGGTTCGTTCCAACAGACTTTGGCCTAGATGTCAGAGATGTTAAGGAATAGTGTTAATTCTAAAACAGATTTGGCTACGTTGATTGCATTTGAATTATTATTTCTTTCTAAATTGACTGTCCTAATTTGTATTTACTTTAACACGAGACCTTTCTTAGTCCTAATAAATTGTTTTTAGTTGCTCTGCACCCACCTGACATCACCTTTTTAAGTTAGAAGATTATCTACCATCTGGTGAATTTGTATTTTCAATATTTTATATCCTCTGAGTGACTGAAATGTCCAGGTGGTCCAGGAGATGGCGATCCTGGACTGTGATATGTTGCATGACAGTCTTGGATCAGGGCTTGGTGATGTTCCTGGCCACATGTTCTTCATCAGACAACCAGACACCAAAACGCTGTGTCACTCTGTAATGAAACTCTGTAGATGAAACCCTTGTAGTAACCCTTGTGTAGTGTGTAGTGTGTGGATTAAAATAAGTGGATGTACCTGCGCTACACAGCAGAAAACAGCTGCTGTAGAGTTTGGCTAAAATAAAAACCTGCAGCCTGCTGAGTTTCTGATTGGAAACCTATGTTTTACTACCTACTGAACCACTACCTTCTGACCTGTAGTACTTAAGAATTCAGAAAAACTCTGAAGGAAAAGGCCATATTTCCCCTTTGGATAATAAGAGATTAAAAAATAACAACTAAGGGAAATGCCAAGTTTTCTGGGTTGATCCCATTTTCCAAGCCTTCTTGAATGCACCACCACCTTTACTGTTTTGTCAGTTTTTTTCCACAGACTGGAAAATAAAAAAGTTGTGTTTTTCACGCACAGGGGGAACTCTAAAGGTTTCTTGAGGAACCCTAATAGTTATTCCAGCAACCCGACAAATTACATTTCTTAAAAGAAGGCTATGAGGATGTTTTCCACGATGAGAAGACACAAGCTATTTATTTGTTCTCTTTGCGACATGGGAGACACTGAGTTGCACCACGGTTCTTAAAGTGGAAAGTGAGACTATGGAAGAACTTGGCGAAAAAACTGTAAAGGACTAAGATGGACAGAATGCCTTACACGTCTTCCAGTGGACACTCTTTATGTCTTGTAAAAAAACAACAAAAAAACAGTTTTTTGTACTGAATGTTTGATTTGTTACCCTGGGAGTTATTTGTGTTTACTTGTTGTATGTACAGTAGGAAGTGACTCTGTAACAGACCGGTTTTAACTTAAGTGATTTTTTTATGTTTTTTTTTTTACATCAGAGGTTTTTTGTATTAAAACTTGCCTGCGTAAACCAGCCAGTTTGCCTCGAGAGTTTCTTGACCTCATGCTGCATTCCAGGAAACTCGGAACTGGGAAAATTTCCAACCTCCCAACAAAAAAAAACTACCCTACTTGTGAACTCGGAGAAAAAATATGTAGCCCGACTTCACGAGTAGCAGCTGAATTACGTCACAAAACAATGTCAGCGCCGTCGCAGTCGAAAGTTTCAACTGGAAAACATCCCAGTTCCGACCGGTCTCGAACGCGGCATCAGAATGTACAACTGCAAAATGGTAACAAGTAATGATTGTGCAGACCGTGTACAGTGGAGTCTCAGCTTGACGTCTTCATGGGTCCACTTGTCCACTGATAGGGCCTCACATTGGCTCGGGTCTAAATTTATTGTAAATGCGTGTATGTTGGATTCAGTTAGGGTTTCAACTGGAACTAGTGTATCTTCATTTCATTCATTTTACGGTCATCTAAAATATACAGAACCCCAAAAATAATGAAAGATGTCCACAAAAGATACTATATGGAGCACACGATAATGTTCTTGAGTTAATATCTTCTTTACACAATATGTTGTTAAATGATATGTCTCAAATTGTTTTATATACAGTCTCAAATCTTCTCCTATCCATCTGTGCTTAATCTTAGTCAGTGGAGGAAGAAGTACTCAGTGTAACGTAAAAGTAGTAATACCAGTAGAAATATTCTGTTACAAGTAAAAGTCATGCATTCAGAATTTTCCTTACTTACTAAAAGTACAAATGTATTCATAATCAAAATAAAGTATCAAAAATAAAAGTACTCATTAGGCAGAATATTCTATTTTATAATCATGTATATTATTAAATTACAATTATTGGTGTGTAAGCATCACTTTAATGTTGCAGCTGGTAAAAGTGGAGCTAATTTTAATTATTTATATATTGCCAGGAAGAATAATCTATAATCATAAATCATAATTTATTAGTTGATTATATTTTGTATTAATAATCTTTATCTGCAAAGTAGCAGTATTAAAGCTTTCAAATCAATGTACTGAAGTAAAAAGTACAAGATTTCCCTGGAGTAAGAAATATAAAGTACTTGTAGTAAATGTACCTTTTTAATGTTAAAGTAAAATAAGATCTACAAAGTGATCAAAATTAATTACAAATACAAATTAAAAAATACTTGTTTGCGTAAGTATTTGCTCCCTCTTAGATGTTTCAGGTCCTAAAGAGTAATTTTTCATAGTTTGTTTGTATGAATCAGAGTCATTGTTATTTAATGCTGTTTTCTGGGGCTCAGAGTCTACCTGAGGGTCTACCTAAAGACCTTCATGGTACCATGAGGGTGTTGCAGTCTTGTCTGCTTTGAACACCAAACTGGTATTATAAGTACTACGGATGTGTCTGCAAACACCTGAAGCAAACATGGGGTCTTCAGAAGTAAAAAAACAGGTCAGTCAAGATTCAAGCACTTACAGATAGAGATATCTGGCCACAGATAAAGATGATTTTTATTAATGATTTGGTGATTTTCTCAATCGATTAGATTTTTTTTTTTAAAGATACTTTTTAGGGGGACAGTGAAGGAGAGGAGAGATAGAGAAGGGATGACATGCAGTAAAGACTCCCAGGTGAGATACCAGGGTGTCCTCATTGATCCAACTGTTTTACTAATAAAATAACATGTGCATTGCAATATCAAACAGTACTAAACAACAGTTATCACACAGGACTAAAATAACAAGTATTACAGTATAAGTACATTTGAGGAGTCAGAAACATTTTGGCATTTTTGTTTAGAAAATGATTTGAATGATTATCAAAAACGTTGTAGATGAATTTACTGTAAAACCACTAATTATTTCAGCTCTATTGATCGAAGCCATTATTTACACCAGCAACCACTTTTGCCAGTGTTTTTGAAATTTTAGAAAGAACTATTGTCTGAACTGTTTCTCTTTGCTGTGTTAATTTGTTGTCAAAAACTCACTGCTTCCTTCATCTGTTTCACAGTAACAGGTGTTTCAGAGAAGAATCGAGCCTGAAGGTGAGCACTTCTTCTTCTTAATAGTGAATTCAGCCTGATCCCAGATTTCTAACTGAAAGGATGGACAAAACATTATAATTAAGACCCATGTTGTAATAACCCGCAATTACCCTTTAACAAGTCTTTAAACCCTTCACCACGTTATTTAGAGTAAGGAACCTTATTCTAACCCCGTCCTTCTTCTGTGGCGGGGATGTTCAAATCCTTTTGAAACATTCTTCTCAAAAAAAGCTATACAAAACACCCCAAAATATATAAAAAACATCCATGAAAACCTGTGATGCAGGTTATAGACAACTATCCTGCTGTCAAACAGTGCTATACTACTTTTAATATATGCTTACCAAAGTGTGCAGCTCCACGCACACATATATCTATCTATCTATCTCTATCTCTATCTCTATCTCTCTCTCTCTCTCTCTCTCTAGATATATCTAGATATATCTAGATAGAGAGAGAGATATATATATATATCTAGATATATCTAGATATATCTAGAGATATATAGATATATCTAGATATATCTATATAGATATATATCTATATAGATATATCTATATAGATATAGATAGATAGATATAGATATAGATAGATAGATATAGATATAGATAGATAGATATAGAGATAGAGAGAGAGAGAGAGATAGAGAGAGATAGATAGATAGAGAGAGAGATAGAGATATATAGATAGAGAGATATATCTATATCTCTCTATATATATCTCTATATATATCTATAGATATATATCTCTATATGTCTATATATCGATATATATCTATATATATCTCTATATATATCTATATATGTCTATATATCGATATAGATAGTATTAAACATCAGATTGGACTGTAATGAGCAAAAAAACTCAGATTTGTAATGACGTATGTTACGAACAGTCAGTGTGGCAGCTGTAAAGCTACTATTCATTAGACAAGTTATTCAAAGCAGAGTATTTTTATATCTTGTCTTAAAGAGACCGTCATTACTCTCAAGAGTGATGATGGTCTTGGTATTTCGTCCATCTGCAGTCTCCTCATTCTTCGCTCAGCTTCAACTTCATAAGACTTGTCATATCTTTCCTTATTTTTTTAATAACTGACGTACATTTTGAATTGCTTTTGGGTAAAACAAAGTAGATGTGTAAATATTAATTTGGAAAGCAGGTAGATTTATAAACCCACAAAGGTGGGATTAAATAAATTTTATTCTTCTTCCCACTCCTTTTCGAATATGTAAAAACAAATTGAATTGTGTTTAAAAATTCTTAGGCTGTAATCATTATTTTATTTATTATCATCATGTTATTTAATCATTTTGATTTGTTTTCATTACTATTTCTTGTCCGATGTTTCTGCTTTACACATTTTCAAAATAAACACTTTAAACTTCAATGGTTGAATAAATATAACATGCTGTTGGTGTCAGCTGGGGGAAAATTCAGGGGGTTGCTGAAATAAAATAAATCAAAACAAGTGCAGATGTAAAAAAAACAAAAAGGGGGCTTTAGTACACTTTACATTATTTATTACATTTGCAATAAAAAAAATACATTACAATAAAACCTGAAAAATTCACAACACAGAATCACAAACGGAAACACAGAGCTCCTCGTCCAGCAGGAAGCTGAAGACAAAAAAAGAAATGTTCATGATTTGATAAGTAGACTGCTCCTCTGCAGGAAGGATGCAGAAAAAAAATAAAATAAAGGACTGTTGTGCCTCCAAGAAGACCAAAAATAAGCTGGTAAAACTCAACACCTGTTTGTACAGTGTCATTTTTATGGAAAGTGCATTAAAAACAGAATTATAAAACACAATCTTCACATAAAATGTTGCTCACCCATATAAAAATCAGCTGGTACGAGAAAACATGTTTGTCTTACTTGGTACCCGGTGCAGGAAAGAGAAACTGTGAGCGGCGTTTTTTAAAGGACTTTTCATTGTATGAAGCGGTTGATGTGAAGTAGAACTGATAGAGCAGATTTAAAAAGAAAACACTGATGTGTTTGTAATGAAACAGTGAAAGTTAAGTCAAGTGCTCATGTTGAACCTGCAACTTGCAGTTTTCCTAGAAATTCAGATGTGACATGTTTCTAGATTTTAAAAAATAGATGTGTAATGTGATTTGCCTTCAGATTGAAGGCAAAGCAAAAGTTGGTTCCTGTTAATGCTGATGATGTCTGTACTGTTTAGCTCCCATCTCAATTGATGGCTATAGTAAACTTATCCCCCAATGTCAAAAATTACGGCTTTGCAGGAGACTGATTGTCTCCGTCTCCTGCAAAGCCGTCATTTTTACAAAAAATAAAGTTCACACAAACTTAATTTTACCTTTAACCACCATTTTTCTATCAGTAAGTTGAATTCAAAATGCTTCTCTGGTCTGGTGTCATGATTATTTATTCAACACAGCTCGGTCGTTTTGCGTTTTAAAAGAGCACTCCACCGATTTAGCGTCACACTGTAACATCAGTAAAAAAACAAACACATTATTCCTTGTCAAAGCCTATATTACCCACAATGCAACATTCTGCTGACGGAGATTCAGGTGTGTTATCCTAGTAACAACTAATGTAGCCTCGGGACACTTGCCTCATGCAGAGATGAGCAGCGGGCTACAGGTCACTTCTTTCTAATGCCACACGCCCAGATTTATTTAATCTCCAACCGATGCTGACTCAAGTGACATCGCTTGAGGAACTTTTATCACACTTCATGCTGCATCCTCCGGACATGTAAAAGGCTTTATACAACCTTTTTCACATATTGTAGCAGTTGTACTCCCCACGACTTGTAAACAGATTGTGTTCCTCTTTAATGAACAGTAGCGTCTTTATGAACTCCGCTGCTGAGCGCAAGGCTGACCCTTGCAGATTAAATATTCACATTTATATACATTCAAACAGTAGTAGATAAAAGGTGACAACTCGTCTCCAGCAGCCACGAATGAACAACAACATGACGCGTCCACACCAGCCAGACATTCGGGTTTAG